CCTGCCTGGCAAATGCAAGGTCCTGAGTTCGATTCCTGGTACCAAAAAGAAAAAATTATTATAGTAAAGGACACACTGACTCAATCCAAACACGCTTATCCCATCATTCTTGCCACTTTCTGAAGCAGTTCTGGAAGTGCTCTTCTGAGTGTCTTCATGAGGGGTGATAAAAAATTCAGTGAGTGCTGATGCCAAGTGCCATCCAAGAGAAAGGTAGGCTCATAAAAATACTACCGTGTCCTCATCCACCCTATTTGCTAGATCTGGCACCTTGCGACTTCTGGCTATTCCCCAGTCAAAATGACCGCGAAAGGTAAACATTTTGAATAGATTAGAAAAGGATAATTGAAATGAGGAGGATTAATGGTGGTGTGTATTTTACTATGATACATTTTAAGAATTTGAACACTCACCACTTTTTTGATCACTGATCTTGCTTTCTTTTTTAGGTAAAAAGGTAAAAGCTCTCCATAAGAGAAGAAAAAAAATCATAGGCTGAGGGTTCTAAGATTTATGGTGCCGGGCATAGTGGCACATGCCTGTAATCCCAGCACTTAGGAGGCTGAGGCAGGAGGATCATTGCGAGTTCAAGATTAGCCTGGGCTACAAAGTGAGCTCAAGGCCAGCCTGAACTGCATGGTGAGACCCTGTCTCAAAAAGACCAAAAAAAAAAAAAGATTTATGGTAAGAACAAATCTGTCTGTGAACCTGGGAAAGGGAAAGAAATTCATGTTAAGTTATATCTCAAACTGCAAAAGTTACAGTTACAATGTTTAATTGCTTTAGCTATTTGTGAAGGCAGAAAATAATCAAGCCTGGGGATGTACATCAGTGTTAGAGTGCTTGCTTAGCATGTGCAAGGCCCTGGGTTCCATCCCTACCATTGCCAAAAAAAGAAGACAGAGAGAAAGGAAAAGGCATTAAATCTGTGAGTAGAAGCCTTAAATAGGAAAAGTGAGTGTTCTGTTGGCAGTGTTGCTCCAGAAACAGGGTGTTTAATTTATAAATCAGCCAGGCATGGTGGTGCACTCCTATAACCCTAACACTCGGGAGGCTGAGGTAGGAGGATCACTTTGAGTTTGAGGCCAGCATGGACTACATAGTGACACCTCATCTGAAAACAAAAACAAACAATTTATAAGTTAAACTTTATCACAGATATACCTATAGAGTTCAGTACTCTCTAGGGTTTCTGCCATCCCCTGGGGGTTTGGAACATGTCCCCAGGGATACAAGCAGGATGATGTCCTCTGAACATTGATAAAAAGGAGGAAAGAATCCTTTTTTGTCTGTTCTTACGCTGGGGAACAGATCAGCCAGCCAGCCTTGGTCTGGACCACCAGAGCCCATGTCCTAACAGAGAGACCAACTACGGATGGACGTAAGTGTTAGAGTAAGATTTGGGCCAAGGGTGGTAGTGCACACCTGTAACCCCAGCACTCGGGAGGCTGAGGCAGAAGGATCACTGTGAGTTTGAGGCCAGCCTGGGTTACATCGTGAGTTCAAGGCCAATCTGGACGACAGAGTGAGACCTTGTCTCACAAGAAGATAAATACCGATAGAGAGTCAGATTTGGGGGACAAAGAATACAACTGAGGCTTTTTACTGAGGGCCTGAGAAATGCTGGAGAAAGGGAGCCAGGCAGGAAAGCAGGGGGCAGGGGAATCAGGTGGGTCCTTATTCTTATGGGCCCCGGAGAACCTTATTGGGGAGAGGGTACCCTCGGCCCTGATGAGGGAGCACTGGCCCCTCCTCCTGTTTTGTCTTCTCCTCAAGGTTCTGCTTTGGGGCTGGTGTTTCTGTCCTTGGTTATAAGATCGCTGATGTATGAACCACTTCTTAAGAGCAAGCTGCGTGCTGAGCATTTGATCATCACAGTCTCCGTTTACACACACACACACACACACACAGGTGAGGACACCCTCCTGAGGCCACTGCCCGGAGCCAGGCTGCACTGCCTGGTGAAGGCTGACGCGAGATGGGACACCAAGCTGTGGCTCTGGGACACGTGCCCAAAGCACTGCCTTCCACTGAACCAACTCTTACTCTGTGTACCAAGCCCGACACATTAGAGACCTTCAGCACATGCTGAGCCACACTGTGGAGGATCCTGCTGAGGTGTCATTGCTCTGTTTTGTTTTGTCTTTTTGAGACAAGGTCTTGCTATGCAGTTCAGGCTGGCCTTGAGCTCACTTTGTAGCCCAGGCTGGTCTCAAACTTGCAACAATCCGCCTGCCTCAGCCTCCCAGAGCGCTGGGATTACAGGTGTGCGCCACCACGCCCGGTGGTGTCACTGTTTTGTATCACCATACTTCCAAGATATAACCACACTGTCGATGTAGCCATAGTTCATTCATATTCACTGCTATATAATATTCTGCCAATACCATAATTTATTTATCCACCCTGCTAGGTAAATGTGATAGATGTGGGTTGTTTCTACTTTGGGGGCCCTTAAAAACGATGCTGCTCAAAGCATTCTGGAAAAGTCTGGTCATGTATACTGGCACAGGTGTCCCTACAGTATTAAGAAAGTGGGTTGTGAGGTATGTGACTGTAAGGGCCTGCTTGGTGATGCCGAACTGTTCTCCAGAATGCTTCTATCGCTTTGTCCTCTTGCCCACAGTAGGGAAGGCATAACCTGCCCTCTCTAATCCCTAGAGCTGCCAGACTGCTCAATCTGGCAGTCCAGTGGGTGCGTCTGTGCCTCACTAATATAATTAAGCACTTCTGTCAGACCGAAGTGGCTGTGTCCCATCTGACAGAGAAGACTGACACCCAGACAGCAGCGCCCCGTCCACACTCACAGAGGACACAGAAGACAGGTGAAGGTTCCTCAGGGCTCACAGGGAAATCCGCTCACCTGAAGTTCTGGGCGCAGGCTGCCTCTCGACGGTAGTCACACTCCCACGCCAGCTCCTGCTGCAAGGCCTGCAGGCTCTGCTCAGCAAATAGGCCTGGTGGGTATGGCACCAGTGAGGGGAGAGCCCAGCCTTGGGTTCCCACCCTGTCTTCTTTCCGGCTGTGTCTCCCGGTCCTGTCTCTCTTGCTGTCCCTCACACCTCTGCTCCGGAACCTTTAATGGCATCATCGTCGGCACCATCCTTCTGCTGTCTCGCAGCGCGGCCCCTCCGCTGTCTCTCTCCCGGGTCATCTCTTTGCTGTGCACGCACTCCAGCTCCTCTATTGCTGCACGACGCTACCGTCTTGGCGTCCTGTGCCTGAGCTGCCCCTCCTTTCCTTTCTAGCCTGTCTGCTTCCTCCCTTCCTCTCTCAACACCACGGGTACAAACATGCGGCCCTGCGGCCCCCTTTCTGCGCCGAGACGCCCCTCCCTGTGCTGTACTCTGCGTGCGTCTGGACTTCGGTCCGGGCTTCTGTCTCTCCGTGGCTCTGTCACACACGCGTGTGCTCTGGGCTCTCCCTGCTCAGAGACCGCCTTTCTGTCTGGCACACACTCACAGACACACCCTGGCCTGTGCCTTCCCTTGGTCGGGGACAGCGCAGGTACCTCACCTTCCGGTAGGGCTGTGCTCATCTTGAGCAAGGCCAGCAGGTTCTGCACATCGCTGTGGATGCTCTGGGCAACACCCGGGTACTGGGGGTTGTGGGGGAGGTGGAAGTCACTCCTCTGGGAGAGCAGGAGGCCCACCCCACCTCCCCCTGCTTGGCCTCCATTCTCACCTGGATCTTCACAGCCACCTCGGTCCCATCCTTTAGCACACCTTGGTGCACCTGCCCAATTGAGGCAGCAGCAAAGGGGACCTCCTCCAGGCAGGCTAGCTTGGCTCTCCAGTCCTTGCCCAGCTCCTCTTCCAGAACTTTCTGTGGGGAGTGGTCACAGAAATCACCATCCATCATGGTTATGGGCAGCTGAGTTTATTCCTGGGGCTCAGCATTCTTTGATAAGGTAATAACCACGGGCTAAGTTCTTGGCTGCTATTGCATTGTACCCATGTAGAAACTGAGCCTCAGAAAGAAGTTCCTTACCCTGGTGACCTGCCAGGTACAGGAGACTGGAAGACCCAGGCCAGCTTCTCTCTCCTGAGGCTGTCCTCCCTAAGCTACTTGGGCAGGTGCGGGAACTGCTATTATTTTTAGTGAAGATTTTTTTTTTTTTTGGTCTTTTTGAGACAGGGTTTCGTTATGCAGTTCAGGCTGGCCTTGAGCTCACTTTGTAGCCCAGGCTGGCCTTGAGCTCACAATGATCCTCCTGCCTCAGCCTCCCGAGTAGTGGGATTACAGGCGTGCGCCACCATGCCCAGTCTCCACAGTGGAGATTGATAACAATCTTTATTATACTCCTATATTGTATTAACTCAGAATTAACATGCTGGAAAACTGTTTCCTGTGGGCTAATCCGGTTTGGAGTGGCTCAGAGAGGCAGGAACCACACGGGGTCACAAGGCAAATGAACAGAACAGGCATCGGGAGGCAGGTGGCAGCTGGGATCCGCAGTCCACACCTTCACCCAGTTATCAGAAGAACAGCTTGTGTCTTGGGCACTTACTGAAGGCCAGGTGCTGTGCCAGCCTATTTGTAGATATGATCTCCTTTAATTAATAACGAAACAGTAATGATCACAGCTCAAACTTGCATGCCATTCGTGGTGTGACAAGGGCAGTTCTAAGTACTCCATCTACTCTAATAGCCAAGTGCTCTAATATATAAACTATGCACTAATTTACATAACCCTGTGACACAGGTGTGGCTGCCACTATCTCCGTTTCCAAGATGAGGTCACAAAGGCACACAGAGGTTAAGCCTGTGACTAGCAGAGGTAGGGCTCAAACCCCAACCACTGTGCTTTGCTGTCTTGACAGAGCTGTCTGCACCCAGGACAGAATAAAGCACTCTGCACCTTCCTCTCATTTAATCACAGTGATGCTATGTCTGAGGAGTATACTTTGGCGATCCCTATTTTATTTTGCCTAATTTTTTTTTTTTTTTGGTGGTACCGGAGATGGAACGCATGATCTTGCGCTTGCCAGGCAGGCGCTTATGCCACTGAGCTATATCCCCAGCCCTATTTTGCCTAATTTATTCAGGTTTTTTTGTTTGTTTGTTTGTTTGGTTTTGGTACCGGGAATTGAACTCAGGACCTTGCACTTGCCAGGCAGGTGCTTGTGCCACTGAGCTGTATCCCCGGCCCACGATCCCTATTTTATAGATGGAGAAACTGAAGCTCAGAGTCAAAAGGCAGGGGGAGCAATGCAGAGGGGGTCGGGTGGGTGTGGAGGAGATGGACTGAGTCTCCTTGCCTGCCTCCTGCCAGGCACTTACCAGCATCTGCCAGCGGGGCATGAAGTCGGCGCTTTGACGGACCCGCTCAAAGATGCGCTGCAGCTGGGGGCTGATGAGGCTGTTATCTTTGGAAGTGGAGGAGGGCCCAGTGAGGCGTGAGGAAAGGCTCTGCGTGAGTACCCTAAGTCAAGGCTTGTGGGGATGGGGCTGGGGTGGAAGATAGGTCAGGGTCAGGAGTAGAGGCTCACGCCGTACCCTGGATGCTGAGCATTTGGCCAACCTTGAGGGCGGCCCCCCGAACTGTACATAAGGTCTGCACGATCCTCTCGGCGTTGGCCTCAGATAGCAAAGGGCTGGAGCCCAGCTGGGAGCCGCTGTCTGGGAACGAGAGAATAACCACAGATGTTACAACCACGAAAATAACCAGAACGCCACGGCTGCTGCCAGAATGGCTACCTACACTGAAGAAGGCAGCACCAACAGCTGGCAAGGATGGGCAGCAGTCTGGACTTAGATCTGTGCTGCCACAAGCCTGTGTGAAAAGGGGGAACTTTCTAGTAAAGCACATGCCTAGGGTCAGTGCCATTCCCCTCCCAAGGGAAATGTATAAAGTGGCCCCCAACAGACAGTACCAGGTGTCCACGGCAGCACTGCTGATGACAGCACCAAACTGGAAACAGGCAAATGACAATCCAAATAATGACTAAAGGACTGTGAAACAGCTTGGTCAGGTGGTGCATGCCTGTAATCCCAGCCCTGGATAGACTGAGGCAGGAGGATCACCTGAGTTTGAGGCCAGCCTGGACTACAGAGTGAGTGCAAGGTCCGCCTCAACTACATAGTGAGACCCTGTCTCAAGGGAAAATAAAAAATAAAAATTGTGGAACAGTTATAGGGTGATTTGTGTAGTATTGAACAAGCAGTCTAGTGTTATATATAATAACAAATATATCTCACAAACATAATGTAGAATAAAAGAAGACAGGCACACAAGAATACACTGTCCAATCAATTATATACATATTGTTTTTCTTTTTTCTTTTTGAGACAAGGTCTTACTATGCAGTTCAGGCTGGCCCTGAACTCACTATGTAGCCCAGGCTTTAATCTTGCAGCGATCCTCCTGCCTCCGCCTCCCAAACCAATTATATTTATATGAAAAACACAAACAGGCAAACTAATCATGAGTGTCAAAAGCCAAGACAGGAGTGGTCAAGAGAGGAGCTTCTGGAGATTTGGGGCAAGAAGTCCCCAAATGTGGTCCAAGGGTCCCCAAGGTCCCTGAGACCTCTTGGGGTGGTCTGTGAGATCCAAGTATTTTCATCATAATACTAAGATATTCTTTGCCTCTTTTTCACTCTCATGTTCCCAAAAATATTCAGTGAGTTTTCCAGAGGTCCCAAGACAGATGAGGACATCATCGTCTGACAGCGAAAAAATAAAAATGCAAATGTGTATGAGTGCATTTACTCTGATGTTTTATAATTTTTATTTTATTTTATTTTGGCACTGGAAGTTGAATTCAGGATCTGGCGCTTGCCAGGCAGGCGCTTGTGCCACTGAGCTCTATCCCTGGCCCTGATTTTCAGTTTATAGAGATGATAGAGATGTCAGTTACACTACTCTGATTATTACATACTATATACATGTATTGAAATGTCACATGGGCCATAGCTGTAGCTCCATGGTGGAGTGCATGCTTAGCCTACACAAGGCTCTAGGTTCAATCCCTAGCACCAAAAAGGAAGGAAGCAAGGAAGGAAGGAAGGAAAGAAAGGAGGAAAGAAGGAAATGAAAAAAGAAAGGTAGGTTACACTGTAACCCATATACGTGTACATTTAGTATGTGTCAGAAATAAAAATAAGCCAGGTGTGGTGGTGCACGCCTGTAATCCCAGCACTCAGGAGGCTGAGGCAGGAGGATTGTTGTGAGTTTGAGGCCAGAATGGGCTACACAGCTACGTAGCAAGACTGTCTCAAATTAACTAAGTAAATGAAAAATTTTTTAAAAAATTTAAAAATCACTGGGGTGTAGCTCAGTGCAAATAGCCCTGGGTTCAATTCCCAGTACCAGAAAAAAGGGGGAAAAAAACCACAAAGAATTTATTGAGTGCTCACCCAATGCTGGCAGAATTCTAGATGCCTTTGTGGATTCTCTGACTGAAACCCAAGCATCACCCAAGAATTTTGAGGCTGGGGATTTAGCTCAGTGGCACAGCGCCTGCCTGGCAAGTGCAAGGTTGTGAGTTCAATTCCTGGTACCAGAAAAAAAAACAAAAAAAACCCCAAACAAACAAAAAAACCAAAACAAGAATTCAGAACTACCCACGCCTTACTGTGCAAGGTAGGAACTAAGAGACTGAGGTCCATGCCCGGTCAGGGATGGCATAACACAGAGTGGCGCAGCAGAGTTCAGACTCAGCTTGGGCTTAACCTACAGCTGACTTCTCCATTTTGAAAAAAATCCAAATGGAGAATTGCATGTGTAATATCAGGAACACCCTTCCCCTTCATTTAGCAACATCCTGCCTCCTCTGCTTATCTCTGTGTGTGTTTGTATAGCTGCACACTAAACACTGTGTTTGGGGCCAGGAATACAGCTCAGTGGCACAAGTGCCTGCCTGGCAAGTGCAAGGTCCTGAGTTTGATTCCAGGTACCAAAAAAAAAAAGAAAAGAAAAGAAAAGAAAAGATATGGTCATGTAAGGCCGGGTTTGGTGGTGCATGTCTGTAATCCCAACACTCAGGAAGCTGAGGCAGGAAGATCGCTGCAAGTTCGAGGCCAGCCTGGGCTACAAAGTGAGTTCAAGACCATCCTGAACTGCATAGTGAAACCCTGTTTCAAAAACACACAAAAAAACCCACTATATTTTGCTTAAGTTACATATAGTTTCACTTAACTTCTACTAAGAATGAGGATATTCTCCTACATAATCACCGTACTATAATCACATGTAATTGCCTAATACCTACCTTCCTATCCAGTCTATATTCAGATTTTCCCAATTTTTCCCCAAAAATGTCTTTTTTTTTTTTTTTTTTTTTTGAGACAGGGTCTTGTTATATAGTCCAGGCTGGCCTTGAACTCACTATGTAGCCCAAGTTGGCTTTAAACTCACAATGAGCCTCCTGCCTCAGCCTCCCAGACTGCTGGGATTACTTAGCAGGACCTGTATCACACCTGGCTTCAAAATGCCTTTTATAGTTGATTTTTTCAAACTCACAGTCAAACACCGTTCACACATGCCAGCAGTCAATTAATGTCTCGTTAGTCTCATTTTAATCTTGACTATCAGCCTTCACCTCTGTTTCAGGACTTGTTAAGGAATCTCACCTACAAATTCTATACATATGATTCCACTTCTGATGTATACACTTCCTGTCAGCACTATTTTCCTCCCTTGCTCAGAGTTCGCAACTCCCAGTGGCTTATATTTTTTTCGGATAATAGCTTCTGTTATCACAGCCGCGACAGTGGCTTAGCCCTGGTTCTATGCACTTTGCAGCAACCCTAAGAGATGAATCCACTGTCATCCCCCTATCTCCCAGCAAAGAAACTGGGGCTCAGAGAGGTGATACCACTTAGCCCAGGTCACACAGCAAGGCCAGGGTCTGAACCCAGGAGATGAGGTTCACTCACCTGACTGCAGATGTCCTCCTGGCAGGGACTTCTTGGCTGCCTCAGCCAGAACTCCCAGCCCCAAGCCCACAGCCAGTCCTGGGGAGGGAGAGAGGATCCTGAGTGCCTGCTTGCCTGCAGCCTTCTCCTCAGACCTTCTCTCTTTTCTCATTCTCTCTCTCTCTGGTGCTGGGGTGCTCACTGAGCTACATCCCAGTCCTTTTTATTTTGAGACAGGGTCTTTCCATAAGTTGTCCAAACTCGCAATCCCCCTGTCTCGGCCTACTGAGTAGCTGGGATTGCAGACCTGGGCCTGCATGCTGCATCTCTGTGTCCAGTTCAGGATCTTACACTTTTGCAGCTTAGGCTGCCCTTTAGAGTGAGGCCTTCTCTTTCTTTATCCCTCTTCCACATCTCTGTCCCTCTCCCAGCAGTTCAGAGTCCTCTAGTGAGCTTTTGTAAATGCCAGGGCCCACTCCTGAGTTTCTGGCTGAACTGGTCTGAGACGAGGACTAGATATTTGTATTTTATTAAGCACTCCAGCTGATTCTACTGTATAACCAAAGGTAAGAAAGCCCTGAAGCCAGGTGTGGTAGAGCATGCCTGTAATCCCAGCGCTCTCGGGAGGCTGAGGCAGGAGGATTGCAAGTTCGAGCCCAGTTTGGGCAACTTACCAACTTAGCAGGACCTGTATCAAATTAAAAAAAAAACAAATAAGTAAAGCGCTGGGGATGCAGCTCAGTGTGAAGGCCCTGGATCCGTCCCTGTTAACACACACACAAAAGCCCTAAAATCATTGCCCTTCTGGGGCTTCCTATTTTGTTGTCCACAGTTCCTTTTCTCTATGTTTAGCTCTCTTTTTCTAATTATTTCAGGCCAGTTTCAACAATCCCACTACACGACCCAGACTCATGTCACCTCATTTCTCTTAGCTTCCATTTCCTCACCTCTAGAATGGAAAAAAAAAGTCACCAATTTAGTACAGAGAGGTCCCTGTGTAGTGGCCCTTGCACATAACAGTTGCACAATAAATGTTATCATCATTTACATTCCTCTTGGCTTTACCCATCTTGACTTTTGTCCTTTCCCCAGCTCTCCCTCCTCTATCTCTCATTCATCCTTTTCTTGCTTCATCCTGTAAATGTTGCCTTCTCCGATCTAGGTAACACCCTGATACCTCAAAGTCACACCTACCCCCAAAGCTGGCCAGCCGACTGATCCGGGAGGCAGGTACCCTGCGTTCTCGAGAGCGGTCACTCAGCTGGGGAACAGAAGCTCTGAGGGCCGGAAGGTGGGGACAGCGCCCCGAATCCCACCGACCCGCTGCCACCCCATCCCAAGACGAGGCACAGGGTATTGCTGGCTGGGTGGGTGGGTGATGCTACCTGGGGCCGCGGTGTCTTCCTGACACGGGCCTCCCGTGCCCTCCGAATGTCCTCCTCACCCAGGCCTTTCCCAGCTCCATCCTGATGAAACTTTCGGGCCCCCAAACCCCCACAGGGGCCCTGCAAGAGACGTAGACTGTGGTAAAGAGCGAGGGATGCGGGGTCTGGCTGGCCCCTTGGGCCACTCATGAAGCCTTGCGGAGATTCTTCTCCTCGGGGACCTCCTCCCACCTCTTACCCACCAGTGGGGCCTAGGCCGCAGGGCCCCACAAAGCAGACCAACATTCCAGCCCAGCTGTCCACAGGTGCCCCGCAGTAGGCCCCCTAGCTCCAGCCACATTGCCTAAGTGAGAACAGGAGGAATCTTTAGGGTAGAAGTTTAGGGCTGGCTCCCTGCCGCGCCCCGCTTCTCTGGGAGGCCCCCAGGTTGCCCTGCGTCAGCCCCTTTTAAGATTGCTATCTACTACAGACCTTCTCCCCTGCTAATAGAGCCCCACAGTTCCTCCAGAACCTACAGTTCTACCTGTGCGCCTCCCAAGCCCACTCTCCCTACCCCTCTCGCGTTACCAGACACCCACAGATCTTCCAGGGCTACCTCTCTACTTCTTGGAGCTATCCCCCTGTTGCTAGGCACCGCCTTACCCTCCATGGCTAGGCACCCACAGTCTATCTCGTGCCTCCCCACCTCCCCACCGCACCTCTCTCCCGTTGCTAAGCACCGACCGCTTCTGGACTCCGGGTCCGCTGCTCGTGGGGCCTCCCGTGCTTCCGGGAACTGTCCGCCCGCCCCCTCCGGTCAGTTAGCCAATGGCGAAGCAGCAGCTCGCTGATGGGCATGGGGAGCTCGCCCCGCTGTGCGCGGTGGGCGGGTCCGGGGCGGGACCAAGGATCAGAGCGGAGTGTCTGTACTTCAGAGCCCGCCGGGATTGCTGGGGGACTGCGGGAGCGCGCACATACCGCTAGTCCCTTCCACTCACTTCTGAGGCTCGCGCCTGCGGCAGACCTTCTGGTCCCTATCATGTCTTTCTTGCCGACATCACTGTCCCTCACAAATGCCACACCTTTCTGCACGAACATTTTGCCAGGCTCTCTTTTTCTTTTTACTTTTGGTATGGTAGGCTCAACATCTCTCCTTTGAATACATTCTTCTGAGCAAACATTTCCCTTGCACATAGGGCTCCTTCACTTTGCACAAACACCCACACCCTGGCACCAACCTCCTTCCTTGCGCATATAAATCCCCTGCCTTGCGTGCCAACTGTCTGCCACTCACACCCTCAACTCTCCCTTGTACATAAACCCCTCTCTTGCACACTGAGCCTCTGTTCCCGCACATACCTTGCTCCCTCTGCTCCCCGCCCACCTGCGGGATGGCGCGAGTGGGGGCCCTCTGTTTCCTTCAGGCCTGACATTTCCCAGAACACACTCAGCCAAGATTCCCAGTGCTGAGTCAGGAACGCTGGCATCCCAGGAAATCAGCTTCCAGGCATCTGTGCGCGTGTGTGTTGGAGCGACTCGCCCTTCCCGCCGTCTGGGACAGAAACAGCTGGCTGAGCGATCTCTCCCACCACTGACAGAGGGAGAGAGGCAGATGTATCCCCCACAGCCACCCGCTCCTCCTGTCCAACCCCTTTTTTTTGGGAATGAGGGCTCCCCGTTTCTATGCCTGTGCTGTGTGATCTCAGAAGAGCCTTCCTCCCTCGCCGGACCTCCGCGCCCCTAACCTGTAGGGTGTTACCAGGTGAGCCCCAGTCTCTGACTTCCCATTGCTCTGAGATGACTCATTCTAAAGCCTGAGGCCTGTGCCCAGTGACCTTGCTCTGGGGTGACTCAATTTCTGAATCCTCCCTCGGCTCCCCTCCAAAGGTGAGGGTCTGACTCAGGAGCAGAGCGCAGTCCACCGCTGGGGCAAACTACAAAACACACCTTTGGCAAGAACTCTACTGGGCTGTGGCTGACTGCCAAGACTGGCATCAAATGCTTCGCGTCCATGAGGTCATATCAGATAGTAGTACCAGGTCTACAAACAAAGTCGAGACGCTGGCAGACCTCTGAGCTTCAGCGCTCTCGTTTGTAAATTTCGAAGCGTAGAAGCTGTGAAATCGTATCACGGCCTCTTACAGAGCAAGTACTCTGTACATGAGATTTCCTACGGAATACGTTTTCCATGGGGCGTAAGTCACTCGCTCAAGGTAACACTGTTGAGAAGGGACGGAGCTGGCTCTCTTTTTGTTTTTTTGGTCTTTTTGAGACAGGGTCTCGCCATGCAGTTCAGGCTGGCCTCAAACTCGCAATGATCCTCCTGCCTCAGCCTCCCGAGTGCTGGGATTACAGGCGTGCGCCACCACGCCCGGCGGAGTTGGCTCTCAAACACAGGCCCGTAGGATCCCCAAGTCTTTGAGTCTGCCAGCCCCCAGCATGTAGACAGGGTGCGCGGCTGGATTTATCACCAGGGGCTGCAGGGTGGCTGCACTGGTCACTCGAGAGCGTAGGCGGGTTGGCTTAATCCTGGGGAGGACTGGGAAGGCTCCACTCCATACGCCGTAGGACCTCAGCCCCAGATCCAACCCCTTCTCACTTGGGCGCAGGGACACGCCCCCCTCTGACGGAGACTGGAAGAGCCGCAAGGCCCCGCCCATACGTCACGTCCGGTGGGCGGGGCTCCGTGCTTTCCCTGGGAGGCGGAGTATCGGTTAACCCCTACGTGGCCAGGCGGGCTGGAGCTCCTGGGGCCGGAACCCTCGCGCCGCAGCTCCGCAGCCACACCCCTCGCAGGATTTAAAGGGGAAGGAGCGGCCGGCCGGTCGAATCCCGACCAGAGGGAGCGGGCATGAGGCGCTGCCCGTGCCGGGGGAGCCTAAGCGAGGCGGAGGCCGGGGCGCTGCCCGCAGCGGCCCGCATGGGGCTGGAGGCGCTGCGAGGGGGCCGACGGCGGCAGCCGGGACAGCAGCGACCTGGGCCTGGCGCTGGGGGCCCGGCGGAGCAGCCGGAGGGGGGCGGGCCCCGGGCCTGGACCGAGGGGTCCAGCCTTGGGCCTGAGCCGGGGACAGAAGGTCCACAAACAGAACCGTGGACAGATGGACTGGCTGAGCCCGAAGCAGCTGGCCTAGGAGCAGAGACGGAGAGTCCCGGCCAGCATACAGAGCCAGAAGGATCCGGCCCCCAGACACATCCAGAAAAGAGCAGCTGCGGGTCAGAGCTGGAGCCCGCCGGTGCCTGGAGGGAGACTAGGGCAGATGGCTTTTGGGCTGATACACACAGACCCGACCTCCAGTCGCAGGCAGAGGGGGCCAGCGTCCGGACACAGCCGGGGGTTGATGAGCCCTGGACAGAGCTAGAAATACCTGGGTGGCAGACCCAGCCAGAGAGGGTGAAACCCTCGGCTGATAACCTCTGCACCCATGAGAGCAGGCCCAGCCTCCGGACTTACCCAGAGGGAGCCTGTCCCTTCACGGAACCAACTGCTGATGGCTTCTGCAAAGAACTGTACACTGATGGCTGCAGGATGCCACAGGATACCGAAGTATCCTGGACAGAGCCACACAGAATACAGATACAACAGAATACTGAAACAGCCTGGAAGCAGCCTGGCAATGATGGTTTCCCAACACAACAAGAAACGCATGATGGGTCCTGGACACAGTCTGGGGCTGATGGTCCCCAGACGGGACCTGGAACGGACTGCCTTTTAGGGGAGCCCAGCCAAGATGGCCCACTAGAGGAAACTGAACCTGGGGAGTTGGTGACTCACCTGTGCTCTCGCTTGGAGTGTAGTTCCCTGTGCCCTGTGCCCCGCCTCATCATCACCCCTGAGACCCCTGAGCCTGAGGACCAGCCAGCGGGACCGCGCTCTCGGATTGAGGGAGGCAGTGGGGGCTTCTCCTCTGCCTCCTCTTTCGATGAGTCTGAGGATGACTTGGTGGCTGGCGGTGGAGGTACCAGCAATCCTGAGGACAGGTCTGGGGTGAGTGGGACCCATTCTGCCCCTGAGCCGCCTTCCCTCTGGCGCTTATCCCCATCTTTGCTTGGAAGTTCTCTACCAGTTTACTCTTAGCTACCCGCCAGTCCTTTCATCTCCAGGAACCTCTTCTATCCACTGACCTCCTGTGTCTGGGGGGGCTAGGTTCTAACCCACTCCAGCCACCCCGCAACATTCCCTCCTTTCGCTCCCCCCCCCCCCCCGCTATCTCCAGCTCTGGGGTCTGCAGTGGAAGACCACTGACCGATATGCCCAGGAACCCCTGAAGCTGTGCCTCTGTGGGAGTCTGTGTGTGTGCAGACATGATTTTGCAGCGAGGGTCTGTGACTCCTGTTGAATCCTGACGAGTCTATGATCCCACACCTGAAGAACACATAGGGAATAGGGAGATAGAGTACACTTCCTTCCCCAAATACCAGTCTGGGTTGTGTGGCTGCCTTCCCAGGTCGTGAGCCGTCCCCCAACTCCTAGCCTATTTGTGTTTTTCTAGGAAGTGCAGAGGCTCCCGCATTTATCAGATTGTCGAAGGGCTGTGCCAACTCCAAATGCGCAGGGATCCTTGTCCCAGCCAGGGACCCGGCTGCTGTCCCTGTTGACCCCCAGCTCCTCAAGGGGCCCCTGAAGACGCCTGTTTACATCCTCCACCCTTGCCCCTAGCCTGGGTGCGGTTCTCCCCTGGTGAATCAGAAGGGCTAGCAGGACAGGTTCAGAGAGGGAGGGTCAGAGCAGACGCGGGTGTGAACGGGAGCCTCACATGGGGCTGGGAGCGCAGTCCATAGTCCATGGCTGGGGCCCCTGGCTGGAGTCTGCCCTGAGCACCCCTCACTGCACACGCCTCCCTTAGAGATGTGTTCCCACATGTGGCCACAGCTGTGAGAAGCAGACCTGCCTGAACGAGCTGGTGCCCGTGCAGAGGAGCTGACTGTCTGGGACTTTCTGCTGTTGCTCTTCTCTCTGTGTTCTCAACTGCTTGGCATCTCAGCACAGCTGAGCTGGAAGTGGGTGACTAACTACAACAGCATCAAGGAAGGCAGCAGCTGACACTCACCTGTGCCCAACCCTGTGCTGGGCTCTTTGGGGCTTGCTGACTCATTTACTCACCGTGGCCCTAGGATGTAGGTACTATTATTGTTCCCTTTCCAGAGGACGAAACTGAGGTGTAGGGGTCAAGTCACTTGTCCAAGAAGGTCCAGTGTACCAGGCTGTTACTATTGTAAGAGCTTTCCATGTGTTACCTCTTTGAATCCTTGTAACAGCACTGAGCAATCAGGATTATTATCTCAATTTTACAGGTGAGGAAGCCGAGGCAGCGAGAGGTGATGTCACTTTGCTTCGAGTTGGCCGAGTCAAGTCAGAGCCAGGATCTGACTCAGTTCCACCTGAACTTCCAACCTGTCATTTTAAACCCTGTGCTGTGAAGATCTGTCCCTAAGTTGCCTTCTTCCCAGGTCTCTCTTATCTCCTGGCCTCCTCATCCTTCCAGAAGTTGCCTCCGAGGCCGGCCGGGCTCTGATCAGACACTCCCTGCTCTGGTGCCTGCCATGGCTCCCCTGCAGCTTCCTGATAGTGATCAGGAGCTCAGTGCTGCCTTCTGAGCAGAGCCTCCTGGCTGGAGGCTTCTTCCCAGGCTCCGACTCCCTCTCCCGCCCTGACCCCTCTGCTGTCATGAAGCCCGAGCACACACTGTCCTGCACATGCCCCACCACCACTTTCTTGCCTCTGCACGTGGCTCCAGCTGTCCCCACTGCCCACGTGTCCTGCTTCCTTCTCGCCTAATTTTGAAGTCCTGTCTGACCTGAAAGGTTCAGCTTTCCTTTCTTTTCTTTTCCTTCCTTTCCTTTCCCTCCCTTCTTAAATTTCTTTCTCACCATTCTGTCCTCTTAACCAGACAACAGTCGGTCCCTGGGCTCCTACGGGGCATCCAGCTTTGCTGGGGACATAGCAGTGACCAAAACACTGCTCCACAGGGCTCCCAGGCTGGTCAGAGAGACAGACAGTACTCCAGACAGTGGCTGCTCAGAGTGATCAGGGCTGGGATAGTGGAAGCCCAGAGGGTTGTGGGAGCCCAGAGGATACGACCAGCCAGATCTGAGTAATCAGAGAGGGCTTCCTGGAGAAGGGGGCCTAAAACCATCTAAGAAAGCCCACATTAGCTCGGTGTGGGGCATGCCTGTAATCCTAGCCCTCTGGGAGGCTGAGGCGTGAGTATCGCTAGTCTGAGCCCAACCTGGGCAATTTAGCCATTTAGTAATACTCTGTCTCAAAAAATAAGTGAGGTGGGGCTGGGGATTTAGCTCAGCGGCAAAGCGCCTGCCTGGCAAGCGCAAGGTCGTGAGTTCGGTTCCTGGTACTGGAGAAAAAAACAAAACAAAACAACAACAACAACAAAAAGTGAGGTGTGTGGGGGAGGGCACGCCTATAATCCCAGCAATTTGGGAGGCTGAGGCAGAAGGATTACCGTGAGTTTGAGTCCAGCCTTGGCTACATAGTGAGTTTAAGGCCAGGCCGTCTCAATAAATAAATAAATAAATAAATAAAACAAATGATTAAGATGCATTTTGTACCAACTCCCTCAGATGATTGTGTTTATTATGTAACTCAAACATACAGTAATAAAATTTAAAAATAAAATAAAAAGGGTTAGGGATGTAGCTCATTATGAAGGCCTAGGTTCAATCCCCAGTACTTTAAAAAAAAAAAAAGTACAGCTTAACCCTTGGACATAATATAAAGGACAAAGGGCTGGGGGTGTAGCTCAGTGGTAGAGCACTTGCCTAGCATGTAAGGAGAGGGAGAGGGAGAATGAGAGATTGACTAGATAATCTGTTTACGATGATAAAGGACAATTTCAACTAACCTTATTATTCAAAGCACCATTTTTGGAGCACTTTATGTACACTAGGGATACGGTCATGACAATGACACCGTCTGAGTGCATAGTACAGCGGGCAGAGCAGCGGGTACAGTGTGGAGGCAGTCGAGTCAGACCAGAGCACTGTGCTGGGTGACGTCGGGCAAGTGGCTTCCCCTCCCTGAGGGGCTTCCTCAGTGACACCGACAACAGTCTTCTTGGGGTTGTGCTTTTAGGGTTAAATAGGGTATGATACATGGAGTCTGTGGTTGTGCCTGGAACCTTGATTAATCACCTCTTCTCTGAGGGAGGGAGTAGCCCTTACTGTACCTCTCGGCCCAACACCCTGCCTCCCTGCCGGCCCTCCTGCCGTCAGATTGGTGTCTGCTAGGTAGCTGGGCTCTAGTGTCAGAGAACACTGCCTTGACTGTGTGTGTGTGTGTGTGTGTGTGTGAGAGAGAGAGAGAAGGAGGGAGGGAGGTTTGTGTGTGTGTGAGAGAGAGAGACAGAGAGAGAGGGAGAGAGAGAGAGCGTCGCATGACTCCCCTCTCTAGATGCGACCCATACTCCCAATACCTGCTAAGTGCTGCTGTGAGCCCTGGCAGAGACCGCATCTGTTTGGTAGTATGTGTGCGTATGTTTTGGACCCTGCTTGCTCTTGGACCTATTTTCCATTTGTTGCTTTTTTGCAGTCCTGAACCTGGAATCCAGGGTCTTCTGCATTTTGTGCTCACATTCTGCCACTGAGCTGCACCCCAGCCCTCCTCCCGCGTTCTGTTACTCACACCCTCCCTACCTCTCTCTTACTCTTGCTTTTGCTGTTCTTTTCTGCTTTGATCCACCCTTCTCTGTCACCCTTTTGCATGTGTGACTCCCTTCCTTCCTTCCTTCCTTCCTTCCTCCTTTCCTTCCTTCTTCCCTCTCTTTCTTTCTCTTTTAGCCATTCTGTAGCTGTCTCTGTGTTAGTCAGCGCAGATAAGGATCTGCTGTAGTAACAAATAGTGCCCAGAGCTGAATGACTTAGAGCAACAACACAATGCTCCCTGCTGTCTTCTCTCAGGGACGTAACCTTCTCCTCCCCGCTAGTGTGGAACTGAATATGGAGGCTCATGCAGCAGCCCAGAAGCCTCTCTTCCCAAAGTGAACTTTTGTGCATAGTTCACTGGCTAGAGCAGTTCAGTGACCTTGGTTTAAGACAGCAGGGCATGGTGGTGCACACCTGTAACCTTAGCACTCAAAAGGCTGAGGCTGGAGGATTGCATGAGTTGAGGCCAGCCTGGGCTACAAAGTGAATTCAGAGTCAGCCTGAACTGAACTGCACAGCAGTGAGACCCTGTCTCAAAAAAAAAAAAAAAGCAGGGAGGTTCCTGGAAGGAGGAAGAGCAGGAGCCACTTGAGGATCAGCTGTCTCGTGCCTGCCCTCTATCTCTGTCCTTGTCTGTCACTGCTTTGCCATCTCTCTTTCTGTCTCTCTCTGCCTCCATCCATCCACTCCTACCGCTGTCCTTGGCCCCAGAAGATCTGACCTGATTTGGGGGCAGAGTTGGGCCTTCCATGTTTTGGCAGTGTATGTGTTTTGGGGCAGCGGGCAGATATGGCAATTTTTACTGCAACCAAACCTAGCTTACCCTTAAGTCGTAAGACAAAGACTTGGGGAGACACAGATGCTAACAAAGTGGTGACAGAGACAGAAACCCTCCAACCTTTGCTGAGGCTTATAGAGACCTCACGATTGCTGAACTAAGTGGGGATCACTCACCCCAGTAAGCTTGGGAATAGTGATCCCAGGAAGCCCCTTGGTCATGTTGCCTCTGTCTCTGTCTCTCTGTCTCTCTGTCTCTCTCTCTCTGTACTGGTGATTGAACCCAGTACAGAGAGAGAAAACCCATTTAACTTTTTTAATTTTTAATTTTGAGACAGGGTTTTGTTCAAACTTGTGATCCTCCTGCCTCAGCGTCCTTAGTGCTGGGATTCCAGGCATGTGCCACCACTCCCGGGTCCTTGGTTCCCTCTCACAGCAGCACTCTCAGCTCCTTTCCTTCATGGCCTTGGCCCTGACCTCACCCTGCTCCACCCCACACAGAGCAAACCATGGAAGAAGCTGAAGACGGTTCTGAAGTATTCGCCCTTCGTGGTCTCCTTCCGTAAACACTACCCTTGGGTCCAGCTTTCCGGACATGCTGGTGAGAACTGTGGTGGTGGGTGGGCATGGCTAGGTGGAGGTATCCAGGCTAGGAAAAGGGCTGCTCTCTGGGTCTTAGTTTCTCTGTCTATAAAATGGGCTTGGTGACAGTTCCTACCTTGTGGAGCTCTTTCGAGAAACACTTGGGCTTGGGTCTGGGCATTTGTATGTCAGGGTGGGAGCTGTTTCCTAGTGCCGTATTCTGGTGGGTGACAGAACCTCAACCCTGGGACAGATGGGCCTGGGTTCAAATTCTACTTCTATCAGTATTCAGAGGTGACTCTGGGCAGGTTATTTTCCTTTTCAGGCCTCACTTTCCCCTTCAGTTAATAGAAAACTAATCTTACCTCTCTTGTAGTGTTAAATGAAGAGTTAAAACCAAAATGTACCTATAATCTCAGGTGGGAGGTTTGAGGCAGGAGGATCACAAGTTCAGGGCCAGCCTGGGAAATTTACCAGAACTCTGCCTCAGAATAAAAGTTTGGCCAGGGGTGTGATGCAGACCTATAATCTCAGAAGCCAGGAAGCTGACTGAGGCAAGCTTCTCTTGATTTCAAGGCCAATGTGGGCTATATAGTAAGTTTAAGTCTAGCCTGAACTACATAGGGAGACCCTGTTTAAAAAAAAAAATTTTTTTTAAAAATTAATAAAAATTTTAAGCCAGACATAGTGGTGCACACCTGTAATCCCAGCACTCTGGAGGCTGAGGCAGGAGGATCTTTGAGACCAGCCTAGGTTACAAGATGAGCTCAAGGTCAGCCTGACCTGCATAGTGAGGCCCTGTCTCAAAAAGACAAAAAAAAATTAATAAAAATTTTAAAAAGGGCTAGAGTTGTAGCTCAGTGGTGGAATGCTTGGCTAGCATACATGAGGCCCTGAGTTCAATCTCCAGTACCACAGAAACAATGTCTCTAGAGGCGGGGGCTGTAGCTCAGTTGGGAGAGCACTTGCCCAGCACGTGGAAGGCCCTGGGTTTAATTTCCAGCACCACGTGAAAAAGGAACAAGTTGTGCAGATTGAGACACAGCCTTTCGTAAGGGCCAACTGTCATTCTCCGACCCACTCCTGTGTCCAGAGGCTAACAGGCCTCCATCACACAGAATCTACTAGTTTTCCTCCAGGACCTAGCAAATGCCTCCGAGCACAGAGAAGCATAGTAGGTACCTAGCACATAGCACTTTTCGCGAAGGGCTACAGAGTAAAGATCTTAGGTAGAACAAGAGATACTGTTGTGACCATCTTTGGGCAATATATTCGGAAAATACAGTGTGTCACAGTGAAATGTGGGAATTCCGTCAATACTTACCGTCTGCACGGCCCAGGAAATGACAGATTTATAAACCATCTTAAACGGGCCCTGGTTGGTCGCACCTTGGAACTCCAGGCAGAAGCAAACGCAGATCAACTCTGGAAAGTCATGCTCTCCACTCAAGTCGCACGAAATTCCCACAGTTGTGAGCTCATGATCCTAAATTACAAAACAAACAAGGACACACTCGCTGTGAGCAAGACTGTGTATGTAAGCAACAGAGAATCGAAATACGCCCTTCCTTTTCCATGCCAGGCCAAGATCTCCAGAGTTGAGGTGGGCAGGGAGAGCAGGAGGCTCATGTTAGAGGGTGGTGGCCTGAGTATGAGGCGCAAAGGGAGATAGGGGCGGGGAGCTTTTTTGTGATCCAGTTTCTGACCCTCTCATTGGTCCTGCTGTCCATAGGGAACTTCCAGGCGGGAGCGAATGGTCGGATTCTGAAACGTTTCTGTCAGTGTGAGCAGCGCAGCCTGGAACAGCTGATGGGAGACCCGCTGCGGCCTTTTGTGCCAACCTACTATGGCATGGTGCAGCAGGATGACCAGGCCTTCAACCAGATGGAAGATCTCCTGGCTGATTTTGAGGGCCCCTCCATCATGGACTGCAAGATGGGCAGCAGGTAGGGTCAGGACAGCCCTAGAGCAGGGTGGAAGGCAGGTGGTGGGTGTTGGGCTTCTTTTTTTTTTGAGGCAGATCACTATGTAGTTCAGATTGGCCTTGAATTCATTTATGTTGCCCAGGCTAGCCTTGAGCTCATGGTGATCCTCCTGCCTCAGCTTCTCCAGTGCTGGGATTACAGGTGTGTCCCAGTTTTTTTTGCTTTTTTGAGGCAGGGTGTCACTGTGTAAAGTTGGTCTTAAATTTACTCTGTAGCCCAGACTGGCTTCGAACTTGCAACAATCCTCCTGCCTCAGCCTCCCAAGTACTGGGATTATAGGCATGTGCCACCATGCCTGGTTTAGGGACATGCTATTGACATAGCACCATTTATTGCAAAGTCTTCCCTTTTTCCCACCAAACTGCAGTGTCTCCTTTGTCACAGATTGGGTGACTGTGCATATGTGTGTCTGCTTGTAGACTCTGTTGAATTCTATTTATCCATTCTCATGCTGCACTATAGGTTTAAAATACTGAGAACACTTGAGTGTGGTGGTGTATTCAAGACTAAATACTGGATCCAAGGCCAGCCTAAATGTACCACGAGATACCAGCGACCCTGTCTCAAAAGCAAAACAAAAATAAACAAACCGTAGCTCGGCGTGGTGGCTTATGCCCGTAATCCCAGCACTGGGGAGGCTGAGGCAGGAGGATCGTTGTGAGTTCGAGACCAGCCTCGGCTACAAAATGAGCTCAAGGCCAGCCTGACCTGCATAGCAAGACCCTGTCTCAAAAAGACCAGAAAAAAAAAAAAAACAAAACAAAAAAAAACAAAAAAAAGAAGAAACCCAAAAAACTAACTAAATAAACAAATAAAAATAAAATATCAGGAAGTTCAAGGCCAGGCTGAATTACATAGGGAGACCCTGTCTCTAAAAGCAAAATAAAACAACAACAAAAGAAGCTGTATGTACGTGTGTGTGTGTGGCGCATTGGCATACACCTGTAATCCCAGCTCTTGGGAGGCTGGCCTGAGCTTGACCCTGTCTCAGAAATATGAATGAATGAATGAATGAATGAATGAATGAATGAGGGAAAGGTCAGGGAGTAGCAGTCCTCTGGCTCTGTGCTTCATGGTTCTCTTGGTCGTGTCCTCTGCGTGCTCAGGACCTACCTGGAAGAGGAGCTGGTGAAGGCGCGAGAACGGCCCCGGCCCCGGAAGGACATGTACGAGAAGATGGTGGCTGTGGACCCCGGGGCCCCCACCCCCGAGGAGCACGCCCAGGGTGCAGTCACCAAGCCCCGCTACATGCAGTGGAGGGAAACCATGAGCTCGACCTCCACCCTGGGCTTCCGGATCGAGGGCGTCAAGGTGAGGCCCAGGAGCTGTCTGGCCCCTAGTGGGCGTGGAGCTCCGCCTGAGGGCAGGCTGCCCAGGGAGCATGGGTGTCAGGGGAAGCTGGAGACGAGCAGATGTGCGGGGGGCATGGGGACCGGCGAGGGAGGGAAAGGCTGGGGCTGCGGAGGTCCCACTTACCTCTCATGCTTGTGTCTCTCATAGACCGTTTCATTTACGTGCCAGCCTGTGAACCTCCTCTCTGTCCAAATCCAGTGTCCTCTTCTGCGCCAGGCTCCCTGGGGCCTGGACTCAGCCTGCTGTCCATCCTGTAGCGCCTTAACTGGAGGGACCCTTTCCCCTCTGCTGTGCGGAAGGTTTCTGTCTGCTTCTTGCATTTTTTTTTTTTTTTAAATTAAATATATGCTTGAATAGCTATTCACGCAGCTCAGGAGTCACAATAATTTATGAAAGGTATCTGTGGAGAATTTCCTCTCCTGGCCCTGCTGCCACCCTTCTGGTTCTGTCTTCCCATCCTCCTGCCCGCTAATGGGGAACCACCTTGTCAGTTCCTTGTTTCTTCCTAAAAATACAAACAAGTGCGATTGTGTACCCGCAGCTTTCCTCCATCCACATCCTAATGGGCAGTTTGCTTTTTTTTTTTTTCTGTCTTTTTGAGACAGCATCTCGCTTTGCAGTTCAGGCTGGCCTTGAGCTCACTTTGTAGCCCAGGCTGGCCTTGAACTTGCAACGATCCTGCCTCAGCCTCCCGAGGGCTGGGATTACAGGTGTGTGTCACCATGCCCGGCAAGTTTGCTTTTTCATATAACAGTAATATCCGGCCAGGGATCTAGCTCAGTGGCACAGCGCCTGCCTGGCAAGCGCAAGGCCTTGAGTTCGATTCTTGGTACCAAACAAAACAAAAAAAATAATAGTAATATCCCAGGGAGTTTTCCATATCCGTTCATAAAGTCTCCCTTCTCTCCTCCTTCCCCTCCTTTTTACACCTGTGCAACTCCGTGTGGGTGTGACATCTTCTCCTGATGGACACAGAAGTGATTTCCATTTTTGGTCATTTCAGTGCTCCGGTGAATCATCTCATACTGAGGACATTTTGCGAGTGTGTAGGTTGAGCTGTAGACTAGATTTCCGGAAGTAGGGCTACTGGGTCAAAGATCAGCTGCACTAGAAGTTTTGCTAGAGCTCACCAAGCTCCTTGTATCGGTGTCACACCACTGTGTGCCCCCATGGCCTCACTTCCTCTGGTCTTGCCTGAGTTGTCTTTCCTTTTTCTTTTTCTTTTTTTGTACCAGGAATCATACTCAAGACTTTGCACTTTCCAGGCAGGTGCTGTGCCGCTGAGCTGTATTCCTGGCCCCGTCTTTCTAAGTTGCGCATTTGGCAACACCGCCCCATCCTCCCCTTCAGAACCGCTCCCTGGTTCTCATACGCAGAAGCTCCACAGCCTAGAGGGGCCTCCCGGCCCACTTCTCAGCTCTCACCCCTCTCTTTCTTTTGGGGTATCATCAGGTCTCAGTGAAGCACTTTCACTTCTTTTTTTATTTTTCTTTTATCTTTCTGTTGGGGTCTTGCTATGTAGCCCAGGCTGGTCTTGAACTTGCAATAATCCTCCTGCCTCAGCCTCCCGAGTGCTGGGATTACAGGTGTGTTCCACCACACCCATTGTAAATACTTTAATTTCTTGGAAAAGCGCCGGTTTTTCCAGCCCCCGGGCCTCTGCACAGGCTGTTCCCTCTGCCAGGAATGCCGTTCTGTCTGCTGTTCCCCTGGTTGACTCTCTGTCATTCTTCTGTCTCCTTTTGTGTCTTGCTTCCTCAGGGAACCCTCCCTGACTTTCATCCTACTACCTCAGAACCCCTTCTCGACCTCCTCGACCTCCTCTTAGTTCGCTGTACATCTTCCTTATTCCTGTCTTCCTGTGTTTCTGTGTTGTTCACTGTCTGCCTCTTACCTCCACGTTAGCTGTGCCCCCCACTAGCGTCTGATAGAGTATGGCCGAGTGTGCTCCAGAGTGACCTCTGTGTGTCCCTCTCAAATATGAAAAGTAACATCTGCCTCATTATTACCTGCATGCCACGCCCATGCTGTGGCCTGCCTCCTACACACCCAGGCTCCTCTACCCCTATACCAGCTTTAGGAAGTAGATAACAGCATGTCTTGCATCTTCCAGGTCAGGAGTCTGAGGCTGAGGCACATAAAGTGACTTGATTAAAAGCAGCTGGCCAGCCGGGTGTGGTGGCACATGCCTGTAATCCCAGCACTCGGGAGGCTGAGGCAGGAGGGTCATTGTGAGTTCAAGACCAGCCTGGGCCACAAAGTGAGCTCAAGGCCAGCCTGAACTGTATAGCGAGACCCTGTCTCAAAAAGACAAAAAACAAACAAAAAACCAGCCCGCTGGAAAGGAACAGAATCCCAACTGAAAGCCAGTCCCCACCCTAAAGCCCCACTTTGCTGACTGGCTCCATTGAGATGTCCGCAGTTAGCCTTGGAAGGACAGGCTGCTCTGGAGTGTGACTTGTGGCCAGGCAGGGCTGGATCTCCTGCAGAGCAGGCAAGCCTGGTGGCTGGCAGGGTGCCCCGGCAGGTGCGTTGAGTTTGCTGGGAAGGGGTCAGAGGGGTCACAATGTCCCTTCACTCCTCGCCCTACAGAAAGCTGATGGGACCTGCAACACCAACTTCAAGAAGACACAGGCACTGGAGCAGGTGACAAAGGTGTTGGAGGACTTTGTGGATGGGGACCATGGAATCCTGGTGAGTGGAAACCCATGCCCCAGATGCAGCTGTTGAAGACAACTACCATTTATTGTTGCTTCTAAGTCAGTGGCCATTCGCCTCAGGCTGGGCATGGCTGATCCTGGCTGGCCTTGTACACACAGCCTGCAGCCGGCTGGCACTGGGGCCTGGCTCATGTATTTGCCTGTTGGCTCAGGATGGGGCCACCTGTCTCTCCTGATCCATTAGCTCGCCTGGCTGCTTCCCACCATAAAGCAGAGAGCTAAGACAGCAGGAAAAGTGCAAGGCCAGCTTTAGCTCCTTTCAGTGCCTGGCTTGAGCATGGTCATGTCTTCCTGGTATGGTGGCACACGCCTGTAATCATAGCACTCAGGAGGCTGAAGCAGGAGGATACCTGCAAGTTCCAGGCTAGCCTAGAATACAGAAGGAGATCTGATTTCAAAAAACATCAACAGCTGGGCATGGTGGTATGTGTCTGTAATCCTGGCACTTAGGAGGCTGAGGCAGGAGGACTGCTGTGACTTTGAGGCCAGCCTGAGCTGCGTAGTGAGACCTTGTCTCAAAAGACCCAAAAAACAACAGCTGTAATGTCCTGTTGGCCAAAGTAGATCATGGCGTATGACCAAGCTCAACTCACAAGGAAGGGGAAACAGACTGCGCCCCGCAGTGGGAGCTGCGGTGGGGTTGGGGTGTTCATGTTATCTGCCTTACTGTCCTCTGTGCCACCTTGATGACTGCAGCCCTCCATTTCCCCACTGCTCACCTGATCCATGTGGCTGGCGTCTGCCCACGCCTTTGGGTACGGGAGAGGTCAGTGCTCAGGAGGGCTCACAAGGTTTCTGTGCTAATCGAGCCCCCCTTCTCACACTCAGAGGAAGTACGTGGCACGCTTGGAAGAACTGCGCGGGGCTCTGGAGGACTCACCCTTCTTCAGGACCCACGAGGTACGTATGAGCCCAGGCCACCACGGGTGTATGGAGGGGACTCGGGGGTCCTGGTGGCACAGGGGAACTGTGCACAGACTCACAGATCAGAGCTCTAAAAGGCAGGCCCATGTCTCAGGGCCCTGCACAGGGCATTTCGGGGAGGTGGGACAGACAGGAACATGGACTGCAGCCAGGGGGTGTGGGGATGAGGGCTGGTTCTGTGGTGGCCCGGGGTACGTGACTTACCCTCTTGGGCCTGTTTCCTCCGCTCTGACACGGGCAGGAAAAACAGTACCTTCTTTCCTTTTTTCTTGTTGGTATTGGGACTCGAACTCATGACCTCCCACTTGCCAGGGAGGTGCTGAGCTATATCCCTGGCCCATTACCTCCTTCTCAGGGCTGCTGAGATGTGAGAGGGCCACTGTAGAGCAACGCTTGGGGCGTGTAAAGGCTTGTTTTGTTTTGTTCTGTTTTGTGGTGCTGGAGATTGAACTTAGGGTCTCACATGTGGTAGGTAAGTGCTCTACTACCGAGCTACACCCCGAACCCCACACAAAGGCATTTAGCTCCCCTTCCTAAAGCTATTTTATGATCATGATTATTTATAGTTGTTGTTCAATGTCTCCTTTGATGGCTCTGGTCTCCCCATCCCTCACTCCTAGCATGTCTTTCTTGGGAAACAGATGCTTTGCATGTGAAGTGGTGGCTTTGTCCTTGTATGTCCTGTCCTCTCCCTGATGCTCTGTCTGTACTGCCAGCACTTTGCGTTTTTTTTTTTTTTTTTTGAAAGAGGGTGTTGCTATGTAGCCCAGGCTAGCCTTAAATTTGTGATCCTCCAGCCTTAGCCTCTGGAGTGCTGGGAGTATGGACACGTTCCCCGCGCTTGGTTCCCCCTTTCCTCTTCTTGCTGATGTCAGTGGCATTGCTGTGGGAGTCAGGCCAACCTAGGCTCAAATCCCAGCTGTGCCTCTCCGTACCCGCTGTGCCTGGGGGCAGCCATTCTGAGAGGCCTCAGTGTCCCTACCTGTAGGCTGGGTGACAGTTGCTCTTGCTACTTAAGTTACTGTGAAGGTTAAATGAGCTATTAGAGCCCTCCCCACAGCAAACCATCAGTACATGCCAGCTGTCATTGTCGTGTTTGTTTTTCATGGGCTGTCGCCCTTGTTACTGTCACTGCCTTCAGGCTGCATGTGGAAGTCACAAAGGAAGAGGCGTGGGGACTCTCTTCTATCCTGTGTTTTTCCTGGTGACTTAACATTGCAGTTGCTACTATTTAAAATGTGAGCCTCAATAAATAAATAAATAAGTAAATAAATAACATGTGAAACTCCATACCAAATCAGGATTTCTAGTTTCTTCCCCTGCCAAATGGGGAGACACAGCACCTCTGGGCTGTTTACCAGATGCCTTCTGCGTCCAGTCACACAGTATCTGCCCCTCTGACAGGGACTTGTGCACCCAGCCAGGCACTGGGATTTCGGGGAGCAGTGGTGGTGTTTGGAAAAAAGGAGGGGCTTGCAAACATGCCTTAGGATGAAGGAAAGGCAAGGACTATTCTAAAAACAGTCCAAACAAAACAAGCAGCGTCTGTTGAGGGGTCGTGGATGCTGCTGATGATCCCAGGAGCAGGGGCTGCTGCCAACCTCCCCATTCTACAGGTGGGACACCGAGGCCCAGAGAAAGGAAGCTACTCGTCCCACTTTATCAGCATCAGTCCAGTAGGCCTGAGAAACTGCTGCCCCTTTCTGGGGAGGGCGTTACCTAATTCACTAGTTCCTGCCAGACTCCCTGACCCATGCAGGACCCGAAAGGCATTTTTTTTTTTTCTAAAGGCATTTGAGTACACACTCTGGCTTAAAAAAAATGGTAACAGGGGCTGGGGTATCACTCCATGTTAGAGCACATGCTATTGTAGGAGGTCCCAGGTTTGATCCCTACCACCAAAAGGACACTAGTTAACATTTGTCCTATATTTTTATTTTTATTTATTTTTTGTCTTTTTGAGACAGGGTCTCTCTACGCAGTTCAGGCTGGTCGTGAGCTCACTTTGTAGCCCAGGCTGGTCTTGAATTTGCAATGATCCTCCTGCCTCAGCCTCCCGAGTGCTGGGATTACAGGCGTGCGCCACCACTCCCAGCTTGTCGTATATTTTTAATGGGCCAGAATCTTGTAAATACTGTATGTGGGTTAACTTTGTATCTGTCTATCTTCAGAACAACTCTGGTATGAATGCTACTGCTATTCTCTTTGCGTATGAGGGTGCAAAGCCACAAGGAGATCAATACACCTACCCAAATCTGCACAGCCAGGAAGTGGCAGAGGCAGGATTTGAAGTCCGGTGGCCTGGAGCTGCTCTGCTCCCTGTCACGTGATGTACCTCGGCCGGCCTGCTCCCCCGCTAACTGCCCATCTCTCCCCCGCAGGTGGTTGGCAGTTCACTCCTCTTTGTGCACGACCACACTGGTCTGGCCAAGGTCTGGATGATCGACTTCGGCAAGACGGTGCCCCTGCCTGACCACCACACGCTCACCCACAGGTTGCCCTGGGCTGAAGGCAACCGCGAGGACGGCTACCTCTGGGGCCTGGACAACTTGATCCGCCTCCTTCAGGGGCTGGCCCAGAGTTGACCCACTCGGCCGCTGCCAGGCTTAGTTATGGGATGGTGCCATTCTGGCCGGAGCAGCCCTAAGATCGCACGGGGGCGATGGAAGAGGCTGCGCTGTAGCACACGGCCAGCGTGGGAGGCCTGAAGGGCCTTGGTACGCCGGGCAGCTCCTGGCTCTTTCGTGATCCAAGGAACATAACCAGGCGGGGTCACAGTGAGCCAGTGGAAGCAGAACAGGTGCCCTGACCAGCCAGGAAGGCTTCTGAGGCACTGCCAGAGGCTGTAGCCAAATCTTGCTGCCCTGAGAACACAAGTTGCTGTCACCATACAGACCTGACACTGCCCACGGCCATATGAATGACCCAGAACTGCCTCGTCAGTCTCTCCTGGCTCCCAGCTGGCTCCGTGAGCTCAGGGCCTGGGCAGTTGCCCTGGGTACTAGGCTTCAACTCTGAGTACGTGCAGGAGCCACCTGTCCCCCTGGGAGTGACAGCGCAGTCTCTGTTGGAGGCCATCCAAGTGCTGAGCGGAGGGCATGACACATGAGATGCCTGCCGATGCTGCCCAAGGCGACGTCCCAGGGTGGGGCACGGTCATGGCCTCTTTCCTGCCCTGCTGCAGCCTGGTGGATCCTCCCGCCCCCGGGAGACTCTGCTGACCTGCTGCAGACCCAGACCGCACTACATCCAGCCTGGGTGCCGGCACTGTGTCCAGAACCACCTCATTCTTTGGTGCACCAGATCCAACCTCAGGACCTCCTCTCCCCCTGTCCGCAAGCCCTGGGCGCTGTGTCTCCTTCCTCCTAGCGGACTGCCGCAGCAGCGGTTTCCCAGGCAGGGGAAGCACGCTTTTTCTTTGGGAATCAGAGTTGCCTTGCTGACGATACCTCAACCCATTCCAGGGAGAAGCGCCAGGTTGTGTGTAGCTGCTGGCTGTGACCTTGGGCTTGGCATCTGGTCTAAACCAGAGACTCTAGAGCTGGGGTACGGTGTACGCACGCTCAGCTCGGTGCTCTAGCACCTGTCTTTGGCTTCCTGTCCCACAGGGTGGGCTTGGGAAGGACAGGCACTGACCTCTTCCCCAAGCTGAAGCCCTGACTTTGTCTTCCAGGGCTGAGGGAGGGCCTCCTTTTCTACTGACCGACCATCTTTGTACTTATTTATAAATACGTGAGGTAGTTGTAGATGGGGTACTGGGGCAACATGAGGCAAATGGCTTCACTCTGCCTCCCGTCCACAGCACGCTAATGAACAGAACACTCAAAGTCAGCATTGTTCTTTCCTTTCTATCTGGGTGTGTAGGCTCATGATACCCTGGGCCTTAGTGCTGGGTGGGGCAATGGGATAATGATCACCTTGGGACAGAGAGGCAGGCTCAGAGCCAGCTGTTTCATTCATGTGGCATCCGCCGAGCTGCCTGTGCCTGGCTCTGCACTGGCCAACGCGGGGCACACCGTGGTGAATGAGACGATTCCCAGCCCTGCCCTCATGGGCTCCTGGGACAGCGCCGAAGCATTACGGCAGAGATGGGGTCATACCTCTTCTTTATTGGTTACAAGAGCTTTGCTGCACAGTTTGCTTAAATGAGACCCTCTGCTGGGCACTGGCGACACTGCAGTGACCAAGACAGATACATTTCCTTTTTTTTTCCCCCTGTTACCGAGAATCAAACTCACAACCTTGCGCTTGCCAGGCAGGTGCTGTGGCGCGGAGCTAAATCCCCAGCCCCTACATTTCCTTTCAAAGTGGAGGTGACTGCTACTTTCACGTGAGGATCACAACGTTCACCATGTAGCTGTGCCTGTTTGTACAGACAGATGGGAAGAACAGTTGGTGGTGAGCTCAGTAATGAGGTTCAGGGGTCCTCAAGGTAGACCCGCTGGTGGCCAGAGGCTGCTTGTTCTGAATCCTGGCCCCGTGACTTCAGAGCAGTAACCCGACTTCTCCAGGTCTCAGCCTAGTCATCTGTCAAATGGGGGAGGGGTGCTAGGCTGTGACGCCCACCCCCCAAAAGTTCACCTGCTGGAAACGTGAGCCCCCCAATTCATGTGTCAGTGGTATCTCCAAGTGGGGCCTTTGAAGGTAGGAAGGTTAGATGAGGTCACTGGGGTGGGACTCCCCTACGGCAGCGGCGGCTCTCTAAGAGGAAGAGAGACCCAAGCTAGCGCGCTTGCTGACCCAAGAGGAAAGCCAGCCCCGTGCCCCATGCTCTGACCTGAGAGGTCGCAGGGATTTTGCGCAACAGAAAATGTTCTAAGGACGGGAGTCCAGCACCTCCTGACAGGGTGGAGTTGTTGATGAATTAACACTGGAAAGCAGGGTGCACATATAACTGCTCTTGGATGGGCTTTAAAACCCCTGACAGTTCAGTGTCACATTATCACACAAGCAAAAATAGAAAGGGGCGGTAGCAGCCTGGGCCGAAGGTCTCTTCCCTGAGGAAGTGATACCTGAGTCGGCACGGAGAAGCTGAGGAGTGATCTTTAGCACGGGGCTGGGGCAGTCTGGCACTGTGGGGACCTGAGAGGAAAGTATGGCGGGGCAGGCAGTGGGTGAGGAAGAACCTGGGCCAAGGAGAGGGAAGTCCAGGAAGAGCGGGCGTAGTCTATGTCCTGGGAGCAGAACAGTATCCTGGAGGGCGGGGCGCAGCAGAAGGTCCAGACGGCCCCTGCAGATGTCTAGTGAGGTGACAGTGGCTTAGAGGTGGGCTCCAGAAAGAGGTGGACAGAACATGGGATCTGCTTGCCACCAGCATCTCACCGATAGAGGGCTTTGTCAGTAGCGATTCTGGAGGAGGTGGCTTGGGCAGATGCCGGGGTGGAGGTGGGATGTGTGGGGGACCCACAGAGATCCCGCCCAAACCCGTAACTGTTGCACAGGGTGAAAAGCCGGGACACTCTTTAAAAGGTGACAAAGCCAAGCTGTGGGCAGGTGCCCCAGCCCTAGCTAGTGGCTCGACTCCTGTGGTCTGAGGAGCAGAACTTGGCCACAGAGGCCAGCCCGCACCCCCCCGGGGGGCACCACGTACACCCGCCCATCGGCGGCCCTAGAGGGCGAGAAGTCTGTCAGCTGCAGGTTGCTGTCCCGGACTTGGTTATAGTCCCACAGCTGGAAGTGCCAGCTCTTTCCCTGCTTGCAGAGAAGGAAGACGGCTCCCGAGGAGCTTTCCTCGGGCAAGAGCGGTGGCTGGCATGGTGTGCTGGGCGCTGGGTGGAAGAGACCGGGCAGCTCCGGGTCCTCAGCGTAGCCAAGGCACGGCACGGCCTGCACGCCCAGCAGAACACCTGCAGGAGGGGAAGACGTGAGCAGCAGGTACCTGAGCCACCAACAGGGGCCGGTGCTCCCGGAATTCACCCCTGCGGCCCTCAGGGCAGGGGCGGTCTCGATCTCCACCTCACAGGCAAGTTAGTGGGGACCACTGAGCACACCACTGGGCTGAAAGGGGGACCCGGGGGCCCTGGCTCTGAAGTTGCAGGCATTTGAAGTCCTGCAGCTCACAGCGCAGGGGAGCTGGAGAGGTGGCATTAGATGGTGCAGACGCCATCATCTCCAGCTGTCCAGGAGAGAGATGCTCAGGGAGGAGCCCTTGAGGCCACACAGCCATGCGAAGGCTGAGCAAACCTCTATTGAGGCCTCCTGATGAATACAAATCTGACCTTCTTTCAGGCAGGGGGCATGACAATGACAATATTGCTGATATTTACTGGGATGCATAACAACCCAACCTATGTTCTAAGAATGTTGTAAGCTTTGCCTATAAGACTGCTTTATGAGCCAGGTGTGTAATCCCAGCACTTGGGAGGCTGAGGCAGAAGGGTTGCTGTGAATTCACGGCCAGTGTGGCTACGTAGTGAGTTTAAGGGCAGCTTGAACTACATAGTGAGACCCTGTCTCAAACAAACTAAACAAAAAAGACTGCCTTATGAGATAGATATGAATGTCACCCTTGATTTCCAGACAGGAAACAGAGGCCCAGAGAGATGAAAGTTGCCCAGAGTCACAGGGTCTGGAAGTGACTGGGCCGGGGCTGGAACCAACTGTGTGGCCCTTCAGTCTGTGCTGTGAGTTGTGAAAACCCTAACTGGTGGACACCTGAGGCACCTGTGGCCCCAAGGGCTCATGTTAAGTACCTGAGGACAGAGGTGGTCCAGCCTTGGTATGTGCATGGCTTGGCTGTGCAGAGCTAAGAACATGAAGAGGGTTCAGGGGCCGGGGAGACGGGGGAGGCGTACAGGGCTGAAGGAGGGGACCTACCTGCGCTGACTGCCCAGTGGGCCTTGTGGCCCTTCCTCTTACATGGCTCGTGGTTGAAGTCTTCATCATAACTGGTGCTGGTGTTAAGGGAAGAGCTGTGCAGGACTGGGACCCACCCTCCCCTCCCCTGCCTGCCCTGCTCCACCCCTGGCCCTGGGATACGGGATGAGCAGGGGATGCCCAGCGATGAGGTGCTGCAGGACCAGGTCTCTGTTGGGACCGCCCAGGCCACTGCGGAGCAGCTCAGCCTGACAGCCCAGCGTCTCCTGGGCCAGCCTGCCCATGTCGGCCACTGCGGGGAGAGCACACACGCACACACAGAGGGCTTGTGGCTGCCCAGCACCACGCCAGGGGCTGAGCAGGGTTTGTGTGTCCAACCCGCACCATGCCCAGCCCCCCTTTGATACAAGGCAAAAAGTAGGGCTGGGGATTTAGCTCAGCAGCACAGCGCCTGCCTGGCAAGCACAAGGTTGCGAGTTTGATTCCCAGTACCGGAAACAAAACAAAACAAAACAAAAAAGGCAAAAAGTGAGGGACCAAGAGGGTCAGCTGCTTGTCCATGGCCATGTGAGAAGTGATGGAGCTGAGTCTGTAACCCAGGGACTCCAGACTCTACCAGGAGACCACCCTGGCCCAGTAGGCAGTGGCAGGGCACAGGTTTGGAGGATGAGAGCCCTGACACCTGCAAAGCCCCACCTGGCCTCTCCAGCCCCACCCCAGGGAAGGGCCAAGCAACACGGAGACCCTCCTCGGCCAACTCACCAGAGAACATTTCTCCTTGCGCCGTATAGCCTCTGTCCACGGCCACCTGCACGATTCTCTCCAGGGGGATGCCACTGGGCGGAGCCAGGAGAGTGCCTGCCATCCACAAGGCCACCAGGCCACACCTGGGAGAGACGGGCCCTACCCTTTACTGGGTTCCTCTACCCCAGAAGCTGGAGTGGGGGACTGACTTCCCTTCCTGCCCCTGGGCCAGGTGGGGAAACCTGACTCCTCTTCATGGGAGAAGGCCCTGAGCCCAGGGCCGGAGGGTGGGGACCGAGGTCACCTGGGCTTCCAGGCAGTCAGTGGCAACGTGGAGCTAGAGTTCACTCACTCGCTCGCCTGGGCCACCCAGCACCCTGCTGTGGAAGCGGCCCAGCCCCCACACCCCAGGCTGCGGATGAGTGCCCCTCTCCCGCCCTCCCAGCTCTGTCCTCAGGAAGCCCAGCAGGGCAGAGCAAGGGCGGCCACGGGGCACATACTGAGGGCCTTCTTGGATGAGTGACGGCAGGTCGGCACAGAAGAGGATCCACTGCAAATCACTTCGGAACCTGAAGCAGAGCCACACTCGGGTCACAAGGGAACAACTCTACATTCCCCGACGTCCACCTGGGAGCAGGTGTTGAGGGACCGGGAAAGGAACACAGGCCTGGCTGTCCTCAGGTTAAAGGGCTGCTGCTGGCTCGGTTGCTAACTTCCTTGTCTCCTGGTAAGGCACATCCGCTTCCTGAGCCTCAGTTTTCTCATCTGGCGTGGGTGCGGGTCATCATGTTTCCTGCCCGACCCTGCTGTTTCTCTCAAGAACAGAAGGCCAAAAAACAAATTTTCAAACTTTGTAACAAGGAGTCAGATTTACTTGAGGAAATTTCTCAAGGGGGTACCTTATGGTCAAATTCAACTATTATTTTCCCCCTTTAAATCTGATGAATGGGGGCGCGTGGTGGCACAGGCCTATAATCCCAGCACTGGGGGTGGGGGGCTGAGGCAGGAGGGTACCTGTGAGTTTCAGGCCAGCGGGGGCTACCAAGCGAGCTCAAAGGCAGCCTGAACTGCATAGTGAGACCCTGTCTCAAAAAGACAAAACACAAAACAAAACAAAAAACACACAAAAGAATACTGTATGACATGCACTAATCACATTTAGGTAACAGGTGGTTGTTACTGGCATTCAATTTGTCTTATGGTTGGGGCACTTAGGACAATTATAAACACGGGTTGGGAGTTTCTTCTTGGGTCTGCAAGCCCCTTTACTGTCTTCTCTGAACTAAGTCCCCATGGTCCCAGCACATATCTAACCCCCCTCTGACCTCCGCTCCTTCCCGAGTTCCTGGTGTTCCAGCTTCCTTCCTGGGCCCCTGGACTTGTCTCACCTCTTCCGTTTCCTCCACTACCACACGTTTAGGCGCCCCCTGAGCAAAATCTTTCCCTGGCCTCCCACAACAGTTCAACTCTCTTCACATGTCCCACCGTCTCCTGTTTGAGCTGGTCCTGCCCACCTTTCGGCCACTTCCCGTGTTCTGTTAACTAAATATTTGCAGTGCTTTAAAAGGAACATGTCCTCATTCTACTCTGGGCCTTTGCCCAAGCAGTCTGCTCTCACTCAGTCTGCTCTCAGCAGCACTCAGAGCCCGAGCTCACCATACAGCTGTCTCTCCCCTGCAGTCAGTCTCAGATGCCCCCTTTCACCTGACCCCAGCCTGACAGCTCCCGGCTGTCACTGTCTGGCAGGCTGAGGGTCCGCCTCGCCCCCTGCACCAGGCCCTCCTTTTGCATTGCTGGAGGTGCATCACCACGGTAGGGGACTGAAATCATTGCCTGTTTGACCTCAGAAAATGGGACACCTGAGAAGAAATAGCTGAAGTGATGTGGGGACAAGGGGATTGGCGAGACCCCCCGTGGGTAGGCTCGGAGACCCTACCGGTCCTTGTGCAGCTTCAGGAGCCTCTTCACATCTTCTCGGCCCTTGGGGTTTGGACCCACCTTCTCAAAGGCCTCCTTCAGGAGCCCGCTCTTCTCCAGGCCGTAGACATGAGGGGGAGCAGCCCCCACGGCAGGGGGTGGAGGCAGTGGGGGTGGTGGGGGGACAGGGGCTTGAAAACTGCAGGGAGTTAGCGCAAAAGGTAAGTCCAAGGGACTTGGGAGTAGGGGAGGAGGTGGAATGAGGGGGTGGGGTGCAGGGATTCTGGAAGGAGGGTCTGAGGATTCTAGGGCAGAAGAGCATGAAGTCATTTTGGGGTCTTCAAAAGGAGTTCAGGGGTTAAGAACACGAGAGGGCAGGATTTCCCAAAAGGTTTTGTCTCAGGGATAGAGATTTTAGAACCGAGTTCCACAATTTGGGAGCTGAGCAGCCGCTGTGAAAGAATCAGAGCTACAATCTGAAACCACAGGGCCAGGAACTGGGGTTGATTCAGCTCACAAGAAATCTGAGGGGTGGGCTGGGGATTTAGCTCAGCGGCACGGTGCCTGCCTGGCAAGCGCAAGGTCGTGAGTTCGATTCCCGGTACCGGAAAAAAACAACAACAAAAAAGAAATCTTGAGGGTTAGCAGGGTGGTTAAATCCAGAAGCTGATCTGTGGTGTGGGGAGGGGCTGCGGTGGGCTGGGTTGAGGCTGGAGCCTTAGAAAGCGAAATTTTGTAGGGCTTGTCTCATTCTCCGGGCCTGAATTTCTAAACTCCCCGGGTCAATTTTGGGACATGAAGGCTCCGATCTGTAGTGAAACGCCTAGAGAGCGAGACTGAGGCCTAGAGCTACAGATGGAAAAAATTTAGATTCCGTCCCCCCTCACATCCCAGGCCGGGTTAAAGAACCCGGGAGCTGACCTTCGAGCCACAGGTCAAGAGGTCAGAAAGGACACCAGGAAAGGAATATGGCCCAGTTGTGGATAAAATCCTAGAATCAGCAACAGGAAGGGTCTACGAGTGGGAGAAGGCTCCGAGATCTGAGGCCTACAGGATCCGCGACACTGCGGGGATAGGAAAGGCAGCTTAAGAAGTACAACGCACAGCCCTTCGGTGCAAAATGGCGGCCCCGCACACCGCCGTTCCCACGTAACATGGCAGAACTAACCGCGCGTGCCCGCCCCTTTGGTGATCACGTGACAGAAGATGTGCGGCTTCGGGGGAAGAGGTGGGTCTTCCTAGCAACTGCCTCCGGAAGAGACCAGGCCGCTAGTTTCATCGGGATTGGTTGGAAACCCGTGACCTTCGCTGATTGGGCCGTACCCCCGGTGACGTATACGGCGCGGCGGGGTCTTACAGCTGAGGCGGGAATCCAAGTATCGTTTTGATTGGTAAGCGTTCAGCCCAAGCCTAAACTTACTCTGATTGGTCAATCTACCGAATTTCTGCGCAGGGATTGGCTTGCGGGCAGATAAAGGTGGGACCGGGAAAGGAACCATTGTGGTCTGGTCTGAAGAACTTGGCTGGCGCTCCTTGCTCTACCTGCGGCCTTCTTGGTAAATTACCTCAGTTGAGGTGGCTGTGGGTGTCAGAAAGAGGGGCAGAACATCATATTTGTAGTCGGGAAACATGGAGAGATTTTACTGTGGTGCGAGGTGGGGGCGGCTTAAATTTGTCCGGCTTTCGTAACTAGCTCCTACATCCGGGTTTTTCCTCTCCCTCACTTTGGGTGCGAGGGCCAGTGAGAGTCGCCGCTGGGGACGCCCCGCCCGCTGGCGCGTCGCGCATCCTGGGACTCGTAGTAAGCTGGAGCTTTTTCTTCCCACGCGGGTGGGAGAAGCGGAAACTACCCTGCGCGCGCTTTGTTGCCCAAACTGGGCCTCTCGTCTAGAACTCTGTTGTTACCAGACTTGCTCTTGGAAGGCGTATCTTTGAGTTTAAAGTCGTCTTTTTCCTCCTTTAAGCCCTACCATGGCCGTGCCCGAGACCCGCCCCAACCACACTATTTATATCAACAACCTCAATGAGAAGATCAAGAAAGACGGTGAGTTCTCGGGATAGTCTGGGCTCTTGATGGCTCCTCATGAAGTAGCCTCTTTCCAACTCCAGAATGTGCTCTTTTCCTCTGCCCTGTCCAGCTAACCCTAACCCTAAACTACTAGAGTTAATTCCTTGGTCATTGTACTGCTTACTGTGTATTCAGCACGCCCTTAGTTCATTTTTACACTCTGTTCTTTAAACTGGTTACGGTTAATACAGTATTCCTAGCCGGGCGTGGTGGCGCACGCTTGTAATCCCAGCACTCAGGAGGCTGAGGCAGGAGGATCGTTGCGACTTCGAGGCCAGCCTGGGCTACAAAGTGAGCGCAAGGCCAGCCTGAACTCCATAGCGAGACTCTATCTCAAAAGACAAAAAACAAAACAAAATAAAAACAGTACTCCTTTAGGGTTTTAGCTCACAGATCCCCTCCTCCCCGAGCCCTTCCTAGCTCTCTCCCCATTTAGCCCAGTCATTCTGCTATCTTCATGCTATCTCCCCGCCGGCCCGTGAACTCTATCAGTCAGAAACCCGAGGCTGACTTGGTCATTGCATGTACTCAATTGTCAGCCCATTGTGGAAGTGCGCACTAGTAATGCTTGGGGCAGCTTTATGCACTTTCATAAATCTTGATTATATTTAATTCTTACAAACCTACAGGGGGGTGCTGTTGTTGTTCCTGTTTCTGAGATTAGGAAATTTGAGGCTCAGGTGATGGAACTTGCTCAAGGTCACACAGCAAGGAAAGGGGCTGAGATCCCAAGTATGGAATTCTTGTATGGAGTTAAAAACTTAATTCTGCAGATCATGCTTGTAATCTCAGCTACCTGGAACGCTGTGAAAGGAGTATCTCAAGTTCCAGACCAGCCTGGGCAAGTTAGCAAGACTGTGTCAGAAATAACAAGAGTTGGGAGGCTGAGGCAGGAGTACTGTTGCAAATTTAAGGCTACCCTAGGCTACATAGTGAGTTTAGGACCAGCCTGAACTACATAGCAAGACCCTGTTTCAAAAAACCCCCCACAAAAAAAAAAAACAGTATAGTTCAGTATGAGGCTCTGGTTCAGTCCCTAATACTGCAAAAATGCACTTAGTTCTTGCCCGGGCATGGATGTAGCTACACACACTCAAAACTCAGTTTTTGAAGTCAGAAAGACTCTTCCACTTTCTTGAGTGATTTATCACCTTTACTGAACCTCATTTTCTGTATCTGGAAACTAGGCAAAGTTGTAATTACCCTCCCACCACCTTTGTTTGGAGATAGGGTCCTACAGTGTAGTTCATGCTGGTGCCTTGAACTCTATGTAGCCCAAGCTGGCCTTAAACTCAAGGGGATCCTCCTGCCTCAGCTTCCTGAGTGCTAGGATTACAAGTGTGTGTGTGGGGGATCAAATTAGCTAAATCTCCATGTGGTGCTTTTTATGGCACCCAGCAATTAGTGAGGGCTAAATGAATGTTAGCTGTTGTTACCTTACCACCTCAGGAGAACTGTCAGGAGCTTGTTGGGATTAAGTTTGAGGTTTCTAGTTAAATTGCTGTTGAAGAAAAAAAAAAAAAAAAGAATATCAGTTCCATGTGTGGTTTTAGAGTGTGGTGTGTTGCCAGTACTGGGCAGTGGACAACGTTGATGACTGAGAGCCCTGGCGTACACTGCCAGACAGGCACCCCAGAGTAGTCAGGGCCATGATGAGGGTTGCACAGGCACAGGGATCAGCTGCTACTGGGAGTCTAGAAAGACAGAATGATTAGACTTGATAGGAAAAGGACATTTTTGAAAAGCTTCTGCATAGAAGCATTAATTCCATAATTATGAGGTAGAAGGGGAATTCCCCCCACCCCTGCTTTTTTTTTGAGACCAGGATCTCTCATTATAGCCCAGGCCAGCCTTGAACTTGTAGTGATCCTCCACTTCCTGAGTACTGGGATTTATGGTTGGTGTCACCACACCTGGCTATATTTGTATTTTTATTTTTATTTTTTGAGGTAGTAGAGATTGAACTCAGGGCCTTTTTCATTCTAGGCAAGCATTCTCCCACTGAGCTACATCTCCAGCCTTTTTTATTTTTTGAAATAGGCTCTTGCTAAGTTGTCCACGCTGATCTCAAACTTGTGACCCTCCTGCCTTGGATCTCCACGTAGCTCGGATTACAGGCGTGAACTATTATGCTTGTAACTGTTACGCCAGAAGAAGCTGTTCTTACTTGGGCATGCGTCCAGGTTGTAGAAGAGCATGGAGTGTTCTGGGAGCTCTAGTGTGGCGGGGCCGAGGCCTGTAAATGGTGCCGCAGAAAACTGATGGCTCGTGGGGTCTCCTGGGCCCGGGAGGGCATGGAACTTAGTTCTGAGGGTGTTGGGACATCACGCTGCTCCCTTGTCTTGAGTGTCCCTTGTAGAATGTCTTCCCAGTTATGGAGAGGAAACGTGAGTGGGCGAGGGGAGGCTGCAAAGTGTGGAGAAAGGTCCAAAACCCAAGGCAATGACCGAGATGTGGACTGGGTTTGATGGAGTGGAAGGAACGTGGAGAAAAAACACAGATATGTTTGCACCAGAAGAATTATTAGCTAATTGCTTTAAAACAACTTTGACCTTAATCCCCCCAGTCACATACACTTTCTTTCCTTTTTGGAGAACTTATCTTATTCACCAAGCAGCTGAATCTCCACCACCTTCTGGTTTTTGTTTTTTTTTTTGAGATAGGGTCTTGCAATGTAATCCAGGCTGTCCTTGAACTTGTAAGGATCCTCCTGCCTTAGCCTCCCAAGTGCTAGGATTACAGGTGTGCACCCCTGTACCCAACATCAGCCAACTTTGTATAAGCTGTTGGTACCCTTTTCAGGCCTCTGTGGTTAGAGGAATCCTTTGTTTAGTTTGAATCCCTCTTGCTAGCAAGTGAGGTAGTTTGCTGGGGGTGTGTAGTGGTGCGGGGTTCAGAAAGACTCGAATTGTGGACTTGGTTATCATGGCCTTCTCAGCACCCTCAGGACTGTAGACCAGGTCTACTCACTGTAGACCAGGTGACAGATCCTCAGAGAGCCCATTTTTCTCTTAGTAAAAATGGCACCGTATGTGATGCAGCCTCTGGGTTGGGAGGATTTAATGAAGCTCTTTCCATAAACGTGTTTTTACTCTTCAGTGTTTGTGGGGCTGTGTGTGTGTGTGTGTGTGCCGGAGTCTGCACTAAGCATGGGGAGACTGCAGTGAACAAATGAGCTGGGCTTACAGAAGCGTATGTGTCAGGAGGTGGAAAGTGTCATGAGGAAAGGGCAGTAGGGCGAGGACAGGGAGGGCATGGAGATGTGGTGGTCAGAGAAGGCCACTCCATTGGAGTGGCGGCGCATCTGCTGAGCCCTGAGTGACTAGGAGGACGCAGCCAGGTTGACCTCAGGAGGAGGCTATACCAGGCAGGTCAGGAGGACAGCCAGTGCAAAGGCCCTAGAAGCTGAGGAGGTGAGTCCAGCTTGAGAGGGGAGTACAAGGGCACTATGGCTGGAGATGGACGTGGAGTGTAGGCGGATACAAGGTTGGGGAAGTCTGTGAGGACCACATTAATCCAGCCTATGTCAGTATGCTGGTAGCAGCAAAAAAAGTGCAAGCGGTGTACCATCAGGAGTCCCAGGTCCTCAGGAGACTGAGGCGGGAGGATCACAAATTGGCAGCCATCCTGGGCCACCTAGTGAGCTGCCCCCATCTCAGAAAAACAGCAAAAGTGCTTGAGTGTGTTAGGGACTTACTCTGTGTGTTAAGGACTTACCGATGTTCTGAGCCCTGCCTGTGTAGTACTCATACCAGCTTTGTGGGCAGGCACAGTGCCCGTCATGTCTTGGAGAAGAGTACTCTACCATTCGAGTAGCTCCTGCCTGTTCCCACTGTTGTGGGATCTTGAGAGATTATTGACTTGTGGCATTCTGGGTGCTGTCCCTTAGCCAATGGCCTATCTGGGGTTTACTTCCTCAGAAAACAGGAGTTTAAGCCCTTGATATGGGGCCAAAGCTTCTGGACAGCGTTGATCTTTTCCTTCTCCAACTGTAGAGCTGAAGAAGTCCCTGTACGCCATCTTCTCCCAGTTTGGTCAGATCCTGGATATCCTGGTGTCTCGCAGCCTGAAGATGAGGGGCCAGGCCTTTGTCATCTTTAAGGAGGTCAGCAGTGCCACCAATGCCCTGCGCTCCATGCAAGGTTTCCCCTTCTACGACAAGCCCATGGTGAGCATCGTGGGTGCACACACCTGTGTGTGTGCTTGTGCTCCAGGAGACTGGACGGGCGTGAACCTCCTGTCAGCTGTAGTCTGAGGGTACTTTATCTTGCCCTTCCTTGGTATTTACTTTTCCTTGAACCAGGGGTGTGGGAACACACACTCACTAAAGGATCTTTCCAGGCCTGTAATCCTATGGGGGAGGGACAGGCAGGGAGGTCAGGATCAGGATGGGGAGGCACAGGCCTTGGGGTGAGGACTGGGATGAGGGAGGTGCAGAGAGCTGGGTGAGTTTAGGGGAGACACCTCACCCGGTCTGGGTTTATGCAGGGCTTTCTACATGAAATGAGACTTGAAGAAGACTCAGCTGGTGGAAGAGAGAGACAGAATGTTTAGGCAGAGGGACGTGCCTTGAGGCCCAGAGATAACAAAGCATATAACTGGGCAAGCAAATGAGGTGATGTGGGTGGAAGGTGCTGGGGAGAGCATGGCCTTGTATAGGGCTAAGGAGCTGGAGTTGTCTTCAAAGTGGACCTCATCCTGAGAGTGCTGGGAGCTGTGGAAGGGCTTAGGGAGATGCCTCTGGCTATTGGGTAGAGTGGGTTAGAGGAGTGGGGTGTAGGGGCCAGTTGCTTTGTTCATTACCATACCTCCCACACTGTGCCATTTGGCAGGGCTTTCGTCTGTTCTGCTTCCTGCTGTGCTCCCATAGCCTGAAAGGGCCCTGGCAGCAGTGGGTCCTCCTCTTGGAGGAGACTTGGAGGGAAGCCTTCTGCATAGGGTTAACCACTATGTGTCAGGCACCATATTATTCTGAGCACTTTATTTTTTTTTTTATTTATCTTTTTATTCTGAGCACTTTAAATTCATTTAATCCTCACAGTAATCTTTCAAAATGTGAAATTTCATAATCCCCATTCTATAGATGAGGAAGTTAAAGCCAAGTGATTTCTTTCCTTTTTGGGGGGAGGTAGTATTGGAACTGAGAGCAGGGCTTTATGGATGCTAGGCCAACTTTCTGTAAGGTCTGTTTCTGGATTCATACAGTTTGGCTCTGAATTCTACTCCCTAATCCTTGCACTGTCTTTGATAGCGTATCCAGTATGCCAAGACCGACTCAGACATCATTGCCAAGATGAAGGGTACTTTTGTGGAGCGCGACCGCAAGCGGGAGAAGAGGAAGCCCAAGAGCCAAGAGACGCCTTCTGCCAAGAAGGCTGTGCAGGGTGGGGCGGCAGCCCCGGTGGTGGGAGCTGTCCAGGGCCCTGTCCCGGTAAGCCAGGGCCCACACACTTCCTTTCCCCTCCAGGTCTCCCTCAGCATGACCGGTGGGTGGGGCGAATTCTTTGGAATTCAGACCCCTCCCTTCCCTTCCCTTCCCTTACAGATGTCTCTCCTGAGGGTGGGGGGCTGAATGGCTGGATGTGGTGTTTCCACTTGAAATGCCTGTTCTCTCCCTGATTGATATTTCTGGAAGTCTTTTCTTCATGGCCTTGGCCTGGCTTCTTTCCTCAACCTTGGTTTTGCTGTTTTTCTAGTCTATGTCCATGTAGGAAATCTAAGAGAATCTGACCGTTAGGCTTAATCAGTAAGTTTAATTTGGAAAGGTTAAGAGATAAAAAGTCATTATGAAAAAGTGAGGTCTGTTTCTATATATTAGAAACAAGTAAGTAGAAATATTGCAAAGAAGCACTGAGGAACAAATCCAACGAAATGGGCAAAACTGCCGCACTGACACGATAGACAATGCTGGAGCGGTTGGAGACCTCGGCAGTGGGTAAGATGATCCAGTTCCAGCAGTTGGTGGTGCGCTAATGCCGTGAGGGTGGGAAGATGGACCAGTGGGGCAGAACAGAGTCTAGAAGCAGCCACAGACGTTGGTTTCTTGATGTATGGCAACGTACGACAGCACTAGGACTGATTTTTCTCCTAATTCAGTGAAGGGCAAATGGCTCTGTAAGGGTTAAAATAGTTGTACCTCATACTGAATATAAAAGTGACCTGAGCTCATTGATAGAGCTGAGTGTGACACTAAAGGTCCTAGAAGAAAATGGTGCTGAGTATAAAAGATGGCTGAATGGGATGCACCCCTTCCAGCTCTGCATGTCCGTGTCTCTGACTCTTGAGAGCTCCATGGCTCCCAGCCTGGCTTCGCTTTGTTGGAGCTGGCGGTAGGGTCCACGTTTCTGTTGGGCTTTCCCATTTTGCACCCTTCTCTCCTGTGTCCACCCTTTCTTCCACATTTAACCTCCGGGAATCTGGCTCTGGCTGTGCTGGGTCTTTCCACTTTTTCTTACTGACAGCCATTTCCTTCTGTACCTGTCCCTACTATCTCTTCTCACCTCTGCCTTCCACCCCCCCACCCCCTCCGCACCCGCCACAGTGCTGAGCATCGAACCTAGAGACACATGCTGGGCAAACACTCCACCACTGAGCTACATCAGTAGCCCCTCACTGTCTCTGTTTCTCTCTAGGTGTCCGAATCTCTTTTTGGCTTTGGTTTGATTGATTTAGTGACTTTTTTTTTTTTTTTTTTTCCTGAGACAGGGTTTTGCTATGCAGTAGGCTGGCCTTCAATTTACTGTGTAGCCTAGTTTGGATTGCAAGTGTGCATTACCCCGCCCAGCTTAACTTTCATTTTTTTAGAAGCAAAAGTGGAGTATGTGCCTTAGGGTATGTTCCTACGCCATTAACTTAGCTTTGATGTTTTTTCTCCAGTCTTTTTTAGATTCATACTGCCTTTCTTTCTTTTTTTTTTTTGGCGGGGGAGGTGGGGGCAGGAATCAGACTCAGGACCTTGTGCTTACCAGGCAAGTACTGTGCCATTGAGCTATAGCCCCAGCAGTTTTTGTTTGTGGTTTTTTTTTTTTTGGTCTTTTTGAGACAGGGTCTCGCAATGCAATTCAGGCTGGCCTGTAGCCCAGGTTGGTCTCGAACTCACAGAGATCCTCCTGCCTCAGCTTCCCGAGTGCTGGGATTAAAGGTGTGTGCCACCATGCCCGGCATCCCCAGGTTTTTTGACTTAAATATCTAAAATAAAGTTGGAGCACACCCTAATTTTTATACTTTAAGTTTTGTTTTTTTAACTTTCTTTTTTGGGTGCTGGTACTGGGGCTTGAACTTAGGGCCTTTTATTTTTTGAGAGAAGATCTTGCTAAGTTGCCCAGACTAGGCTTGAACTTACGCTCCTCTTTCCTTAGCCTCTGATTGCTGGGGTTGTAGGTGTGTGCACTCTTGGTTTTCTTGTCCCTCTTGAACCTAACTCTGGTTTGCTCCACCCAGCACTCCTGAGTTGTTTTTCTTGCCCCTTGAAGTCTAGGTCTTTGACCTGCCATCTCTCATCTCTTGGGTTTTCTTTAATGGCCTTTGCTCCTCCAGGACCTTTTGTCCTGCTACCTGCCATGTGTCAGTCTTGCCCTCTCTCTCTGCAGGGCATGCCACCAATGACTCAGGCTCCCCGCATCATGCACCACATGCCGGGCCAGCCGCCCTACATGCCGCCTCCTGGCATGATCCCGCCTCCAGGCCTCGCACCAGGCCAGATTCCCCCTGGGGCCATGCCGCCACAGCAGCTTATGCCAGGGCAGATGCCACCTGCCCAGCCTGTAAGTATCTAGTCCCCTCAGGGTCTCGGGTAAATGGAGTATGAGATTAGCAAGGGATGATGTGGGGCTTTTGTAGATAGGGTTACAAGTGTGCATTAAAGGTTCTGGGCAGTTCCCTGAAAAGGTATACTGGAGCAGAGTGTCCTGAGAGGTGGCACATAGCAGTGGAGTTGGGCCAGGGCAGAGAGGAATTGGCATGTTTCTGGGAGGTCTGGAAGGTTGCGGGCAGGTGGAAGCAGTGGCCAGCATGTAGATTTATTCCTTACTGAGCACATTCTTGTGTACCAGGCCCCGCTTTGCACTTGAGGAATACAGTAGTGGCCAAAATAGAAAAATGTCTATTTTGTGGCCTACAGTCCATCAGGGCATCCCATGTACAGCTGGTGGATGTGCTAGATGTCTGAGCAAGGGAGGAAAGTTGAGCAGGGGGCAGCACTGGGATCTCCTAGATCCGCTAGACTTGGGCTCCTGTGCTAATGGGCCACCCTCCTTTCCTGGCAGCTCTCGGAGAATCCGCCCAATCACATCCTGTTCCTCACCAACCTGCCCGAGGAGACCAACGAGCTCATGTTGTCCATGCTTTTCAACCAGTAAGTAGGGGCTGTGGCTGGGATGGCCTCAGGGACTGGTGGCCAGAACGTGTCCCTGTGGGAATGGCTCTTAGAATTCTGCGGGGGAGCCCTGAGCTAGCTCAGGCTTGGCAGGAGGGTTAGTGACGACGGTGTGAAAGGAAGCAGAGGGAGGAAGCTGAGCTGTGCCCGTGCTGTGGGCAGTGGGGTCCGGTGGAAAGGGTTACTGTGTTTTGGACATGCTCTCCTTGTCAGCCTTTGTTGGGGGGCAGTGAGGGATGTCCAGGCTCTGAGCCTCATTTTCTCAGTCTCTAAAATGGAGAAATGTGAGCCAGGCGTGGTGGTACGTGCCTGTAATCTCAGCACTCAGAAGGCTGAGGCAGGAGGATTACAAGATCAAGTCTAGCCTAAATTACATAGGGAGACTTTGTCTGAAAATACAAACAAAAAAGGGGGATATGCACCAGTAAGATGTTGAACGCTGGGTAAACTGGCAAAAGTCAGCATGTTCAGAGTGTTATGTGTGGGAGGTGGTGATACAGGAACGCTTGTGCCCTGCTGATGGGACATAGGTAGATGCGGGCGTGTGTAGAGACTGGAGTGGAGGGTCCGGGTCTGGGTAAGTTCACCTAGTAGTTGTACTTCTGATCATAGGTCCTACAGGAATTCCTTTTTTGTTTTTTCCTGAGTTCATGGTAACATTGAACTCACCAGCCCAAGCTGGCCCCGAACCAGAAGTGACTTTTGTGCCTCAGTCCCTCTAGTGCTGGGATCACAGGCATGTGCCACCATGCTCTGCTGGATGGTTCTTTATATATCACTGAGAGTTTTTTGTTGTTTTTGTTTTTTTTTGAGACAAGGTATCAGTGTATTTCAGGTTGGCCTTCACTAGGTAGATTAGGCTGACCTTGAACTTGAAGTGATTCTGCCTAACCTTCCGAGTGCTGAGATTATAGGTGTGCACCACTGCGCCTGGTTTGAGTGGGAATTTTGAGAGATGGAATAAAGTAGAAAAACAACTTACTTGTGTAACATGTCCACAAAACAATGTATATTTTATGAAAATAACTACGGAAAATGGTGCTCAGTAAACCTGAGGATTGCCTAAGGGAAAGGCAGTGAGGATTGAGAAGAAGCAAATTAAAGAAACAGCATGTCATGAAAGTGGGTGCAGCAAAACATGTATGGGGGCACATGCTGTAATCTAAACACCCTGGTGGCTGAGACAGGAGGATCTCGAGGTGAAACCCAGTCACGACTACGCAGTGAGACCCTATTTTGAAACCTTAGACAATAACAACAACAATAAAAATAAAACACAGCACTTGCTTCTGGATCCAGAGGTAGGCTATGGTGGAAGGATAGGAGTTTCATCTTGATCTAGGTTGTGGTTGTATGGGTGGGTACAAGTGTTACATTAGAGTTTCAGTTTAGCACTGGATGTATTTTGGGTGGGGTAATGCCTTGTTCTGGGGGGCTATATGTGCATTGTAGGGAGTTTAACATCATTCCTGTCCTCCCTGCTGGGTACCCAAATGTTAGATAGGGATGCGTGCGGCCTTGGGTCCCTGAGGTCTGTGGTTTCTTCTCTCAGGTTCCCTGGCTTCAAGGAGGTCCGCCTGGTGCCTGGGCGGCACGATATCGCCTTCGTGGAGTTTGACAACGAGGTGCAGGCAGGGGCTGCTCGCGACGCCCTGCAGGGCTTTAAGATCACCCAGAACAATGCCATGAAGATCTCCTTTGCCAAGAAGTAGCACCTTTTCCCCAGGCCTGCCCCTGCCCCTGTTCTGGGGCGCCCCCTCCCCTCTTTGGCTCAGTCCCTGAAGGTAAGTCCCCCTTTGGGGGCCTTCTTGGAGCCGTGTGTGAATGCGTGGTCGCCACACAGCATTGTACCCAGAGTCTGTCCCCAGACATTGCACCTGGCGCTGTTAGGCTGGAATTAAAGTGTTTTTTGAGGTGTGGTTTTTCACAATCATTTGTCTGTTTTATTTTATTCTTTTTGTCTTTCATGGTTCTCTTCCCTCTATATCAGCACATCCTGGGATTTTGGACCTCTTGGTACTTAAGAGATTTGCAGCCTTGGGAAAATACCTAATTGTAATAGTACTGTTCAAACTTGCACCATACTTACTGCTTTGGCAATTTTCTGTTTTGTCCCAAGTTGGCATAAGGGCAGGAAATAGAAACCTAGGGCTCCCAGGTGCTGTAAGGTGGACTGTACCTCATGAGGATGCCCCTTTAAGGGAAATCCTTCTGTCTGGATATTATTTCATACCAAGGTTCCAAGCCCACTCTTGCTTCTGCTTCACTCTTTCCTTGTTTTTCTTCCTTTATTGAGGAAATGCCAAGTTGGGCATGGTGGCTCATGCCTATAATGCCAGCAATCCCAGCAATCCCAGCACTTGGGAGGCTGAGGCAGGAAGACTGCTGTGAATTCAAAGCCAGCCTCAGCTACAAAGTGAGCTGAAGGCCAGCCTGAGGTACATAGCGAAACCCTTTCTCAAAAAGGCAAAAAGAAAAGTCTATGCTAGAAGTGAAGAAGATATACAGCACCCAGTGCAGCCATTCTCCGTGTATGGTGTGAAAGGGAGAGAAGAAAGGGATAGCCATCTTCACTAAATAATGCAGTGTTATTACAGCTAGACAAGTGGAAACATCTCACCTGCCGTACTGGGAGCTGAGCGGATCATGGTTGTGATGTGTGGGCACTGTGGTCAGCCAATCCTGCCTTCCACTCTGGGAACTCCATTACCCCATGGGCAATTGATGTCTCTTCTCTGAGCTTCATTTTCTTCCTTGGTGAAGAGGAATGTCTCAGAGGTTAAGGCAGGACGATTGGCGTGAGTTCTAGGGCAGCTTGCACTACAAAGCGATACCCTGTGTCAAAAAAAAAAGAGAGAAATGTCTCTGTTAATACCATAAGATTTATATTCATTGTCCCCTGACACATACACACTATTGGGTGCTTGGAAAAAGCACTTAATAAATTTCAGCGTGTATTTGCTGAGTACCTATTAGGTGCTAAATACTGTTCCAGGGATAGGGTATGTAATGGTGAATAAAATAGACAAGCTAATTTCAAATGCTGTGTTCTTTTTTGTTTTGTTTTGTTTTTTTTTCCTGGTACCGGGAATTGAACTCACGACCTAGCGCTTGCCAGGCAGGCGCTTTGCCTCTGAGCTAAATCTCCAGCCCCCATAAATGCTGTGTTCTAAGGAGAACAAAGCTGATGTGAAATGGTGGAGCTGGGAACAGTCATGGGTGGTACAGAAGAGTTCAGCTCTGAAGGTGTCAGGGCTCACTAGAGTAATAGATTTTATGTACATGTATACACACATGTATATACACATGCATACATGTATAGTAATATGAGTACAGGGTAGGCTTACAGTGGCTGCCTGCAGAATCGGGTGTGGCAGAGTACAGAAAGGGGGTCTGTGCTGAGCACCACATGATCCAGTTGCAAAGGTAGCAGCCCTGGAACTGACCCTGGAGTCCTGTTGGAAGCTGGAGGGTCTGAGCTGGAAGCCTGGAGACCAAAGGCCCAAGGCGGTGGTGAAGAGGAGCCCCTCCGAAGAAACTGAGCTCCTTTCTTCCCCCTTTTCGTTCCATTCAGGTTATCAGCCTGTTGGTTGGTGCCACTAACACCCAGGAGTGGCTCTTCTGTCTTCACTAAGTCCATGTGGCTTTAACCAGGACTAGGGTGATCCATCAGTTGGGTGTTTATTGCTCAAGTTGACACAACAGTTAACTATCAGAAGGGCATTTGAGGAGAGCTCCTTCTGCTGTCATGGCTGCTGGATTTGTAGCCATGGCTCGGGTTGGCTCTTTTCCCCAACACTTGTCCTGACGCCAACCCTGTGTGTGTGCAGCCTCTGCCCATCAGAAAAAAGTCCTGACTGGCAGCCCAGAATCAAGGTTCTTAGGTGGGGAGGGTGCTGTGATCAACAGTCCTCTGCCACGGAGGTCTCCATATGAAGCAAGTTTGCAGGTGAGGCATGGGTTCACACTCTGCACCAGTCCTTCATCCTGACCTTGGAAAATGACAACTCAGCCTCAGGCAGGCTGGCCTCAAACTCACTGTGTAACGGGAGGCTGAGGTGCCTTGCTATGTAGTTCAGGCTGGCCTCAAACTCATGTGTAACTGGGGAGGCTGAGGCAAGAGGATTGCCATGAGTTCTAGACCAGCCTGAACTATATAGCGAGACCCTGTCTCAAAAAGAAAGAACAAAATACTATGTAGCCCAGGCTGGTCTTGAACTCATGGTGATTCACCTGCTCTGCCTCCTAAGTGCCAGGGTTACAGGTGTGCGCCACCATGTCCAGGTGAGTGTGAGTTTTCTCAGCAAGACAAATGAAAGCTGAAGAGGCAGCACTGCAGAATGGTCGTGGAAGTACAGACTTGAGGTGACCCTTGTGCTGAGCCCCAGAAGACCTGCAGTTAGTCAGCATCCGGTGGAAGTGCCAAGTCCTGGGGCGGGAGTGAATGCAGTGAGACCTAGAAAGAAGGAAAGACTCCAAGGGACATCACTGTGTACTGTGCTTTGTGGCAGCCCTGCCTGTATGGCCACGGTACAGAGGGACAGGGGATGCAGGGTGGGCTCCGGAAGTTGCCGTTGCCATCCTGTGCATCATATTTGACATTTGGTTGTGGCAGGCAGCCTCTAAGATGGCTTCTAAAGGTCACCCTCTGGCAGTCGGTCTTACAGAATCTTTCTCTGAATATGATCTGTACCTAGTGACCCACTTCAGGTGAATATAGCTGTCTCTCCTTTCCTGCAGAGGGTTCCAGGACCCCAAGTGCATGCCTGAAGCCCCAGATAGTACCAAGATAAATGCCATTTCCGTTTTAAGCATTTGTCACACGTCAAGGCTGGAGCTTTTACAGTTTGAGGTGTGACTGCAAAACTAGCACAATTTCTTTTTCTTTACCATTTCACAGATCCAAGATTTATTCATTCTGTAGATCTTAGCAACCTCAACCTATGATGGTTTTCTGTCCCTAATAAGTTGAAAACTCACTTTTTTATTTGAAGAATGCATTTTACAACTGCTCTTCAGCATATAGGAACTGGCAGCATCCCTACCCTTATGTTTTTGTTTTGTTTTCTTTTTGAGACAGGGTCTCACTATGCAGTTCAGGCTGGTCTTGAACTGACTTTGTAGCCCAGGCTGGCCTCGAACTTGCAGCGATCTTCCTGCCTCAGCCTCCTGAGTGCTGGGATTACAGGTATGCGATATGACGCCTGGCTGCTACCCTAACGTTTTGAGGTCATTTAAATAAGGAAAACCTGAACACAGACTTGGGGTGTTGTCACAGTGAGTCTGATATTGGTGGTATATACATACAGTGTGTGTGCGCTGGACAAAGGGCTAATTCATTTAGGTTGGACTGGAGTGGGATGGAGCAACATTTCCTCACACTATTCTGAATAGCATATAATTTTAAAAATCAGTCATTTATTTCAGGAATTTTTTATTTAATGTTTTCAGACCATAGGTAACAAATCACAAACTGAAACTGGATGGTATATATTGGGGGATACTGTACAGCAAAAATAAAGAGATGTCTGTCCCGTGGCAGTATTACAAAGACTGGTTTATTTCTTGCTTTGGTGGAGCCAGCTTCCTGTTACCAGCTGTGGATGGAGACACGTGGGGTAAGAAGCTGAGGGAAGCCGCCTGCTCACAGGCAGTGAGGATGGAGGTTTGTTTGCCAAGCAGCTGAACCCTTCAGTAGCAGCCTGAGCATTTGCAAGCAGATTCTTCCTCTGTCCAGCCTTCAGTTGATACTGCAGCCCTGGCTGACAGATTGATTGCAGTCTGGTGGGAGACCCTGAGCCAAGCTAAGTGGGGTGCAGATTTCTTTTTTTTTGGTACCGGGAATCAAACTCATGACCTCAAGCTTGCCAGGCAAATGCTTACGCCACTGAGCTATATCCTCGGCCCTGGGGTCCAGATTTCTGACCCACACAAATGTTGGTAATTAATTTGGTGTTAAGATCCATATTTTGGGACAATTGTACAGAGATGGGTAAGTGAGTTGGACTTTGGGAAATGAAGTCATTTCTTTAACATGGCTTCATTAACTGGGGGGCACAGTCCTACAGTCCTGGTCTTTTTTTCTCCTTTTTTTGAGACAGGTTCTCTCACTATGTAGTTCAAGTTGTTCTTTTTTTTTTTTTTTGTAGTAGTCCAGCCTGGGCTTAAACTCATGATCTAACCCACTGGAACTCAGCCATCCTCCAGCTTGAGCTTCTCGAGTGTTGGGAGTACAGGTGTGCACCACCACGCCCAGCTTTCAACCTGGTCTTCCACTCACGATCTAGCCCAGGCTGGCCTGGAACTCACAGTGATCTTCCTGCTTCAGCTTCCTGAGTGTTGGGAGTACAGGTGTGCGCCACCACGCCCAGCTAAATAATAACTTTTTTAAATGTTTAAAATAGAAAGTCAGGGGCTGGGGATTTAGCTCAGTGGCACAGTGCCTGCCTGGCAAGCGCAAGGTTGTGAGTTCAATTTTGGTACCAGAAAAAAACCAAAAAAAAGAAAAAAATAAAGTAGAAAGACAACCATTTATGAATAAAGACAACAGCACACTGACTCCCTATATTCCCTTCTTCCAACTTACCACCTTGTGGCCACCATTTTTCAAGCATTTACTTTTCACTTTATTTCTCCAATTTTTCAAATTATTTTGAAGCAAATACCAGACATTCTATTAGCTCAGCCCTATTTTTCTAAAATATAAAAACCAGCTGGGTGCATACCTGTAATCCCAGCACTCTGGAGGCTGAGGCAGGAGGATTGCTGTGAGTTTGAAGCCAGCCTGGGCTACAAAGTGAGTTCAAGGCCAGCCTGAACTGCATAGTGAGATCCTGTCTCAAAAAGAAAAAAAAATATATATATATATATATATACATATATATACATATATATATGTATATATATATACCACAATATCATAGTCATGTCCAAAAATAGGGTTTTTTTTGTACTGGGGATTAAACCCAGCACCTTCTGCATGCTAGGCAAGCCCACTACACTAAGCTATACCCACAATCCATTCTATTTTTTTTTTTTTTATTTTAGATTTTGAGACAGGATCTTGTTAAGTTGCTCAGGCTGGGCTTCCTCAGCATCCAGGGTTCCTGGGATTATGAGCAGACTCCCTCCTTGCTTGGCTAAAAAAAAAAAAAATTCTTTTTTTCAGGACTGGGGATTGAACTCCAGGTCTTTGCATTGAGTTATACTCAGCCTTGTAATTTTTTGAGACAGTTTTTCACTGAATCACTTAAGTTTCCCAAGCTGAACTTGAGTTTGCTTTCCTCCTGCCTTGGCCTCCTAGAGTGCTTGGATTACAAGTGGGTGCTACTATACTCAAAAATCGTTTTTGTTTGTTTTGAGTGAAAGTCTGGATATGTGGTGCAAACTGGCTTTGAACTCGCTTATGTAGCCCAGGCTGGCCTTTAAGATGTGGTGATTCTCCTGTCTCAGTCTTATGAGTGCTGGGGTTATGGACATGCACCACCATGCTCAAAATAGTTTTGTTTTGTTTTTTTTTTGGTACCGGGTATCGAACTCACGACCTCAGGCTTGCCAGGCAAGCGCTTATGCTACTGAGCTACATCTCCAGCCCCTCAATATAGGTTTTAAACACCACTAGATACCTGATTAGTACTGAGATTTTCAAAGTTTGTGTTCATAAATCTGTATGCACTATCAGAAGCTAAAGAAGTCCACACTGTGACTAGTTGATAGTTTCAGGTCTTTATAGAATTAAAAAAAATTTTTTTTTTTTTTTTGTCTTTTTGAAACAGGGCCTCGCTATGCAGTTAAGGCTGGGCTTGAGCTCACTTTGTAGCCCAGGCTGGTCTCAAACTCACAACGATCCTTCTGCCTCAGCCTCCCGAGTGCTGGGATTACAGACATGCACCACCATGCTCAGCCTAAAATATTTTTTTGGGGGGGGGGGGGTTGGAAATCGAACTCATGACTTCAGGCTTGCCAGGCAAGCACTTATGCTGTTGAGCTATATCCGCAGCCCCTAAAATATTTATATTTTGAGACAGGATCTTATTGTAATTCAGGCTGGTCTTGAATTTATTTATTTTTTCCTTTTTGGTTGGGGGAGGCTGAGCCAGGGTCTACCTATATACTTCAGGATGACCCTGAACTCACTGTATAGCTCAGGCTGACCTCCAGTGTGCGGTGACCTTCCTCAGCTTGGTTAATACCGGGGTTACCTTGTACATTACCACGCCTGGCCCTTCAGTTTATTGAATAGCCCCTTCAGAGGTGATGAAGAGTATCCATTTGAATTGATAGAATAGAGATATTCTTAGGGAATGCACTGTAACTATTTGCCTTTATTCTTGTCCTCATTTTGTGGATGAGGAAGATGAAGCTTGTGGCCTAGGGGATGAACGGTGAGCTGGGACATTCCCTAGCCTAAGGCCCACCATCTAATATCTACTCAGTACCTGTGAGCTGGGGCAGTTCTGGTAATCAAAAGGCTGCCTTGTTCTCTCCTTCAGCACAGGAAATTCCAAGCTGGTTTTCCATGCCAGCTCCTCTGGTTCTGTCCCAGGAGGGGAGAACAGAGGGGTCCGAATACCTAAGCTGACTCAAGAGAAGATGAAATCAGATATTTCAAGCTGGTTGTGTGGGCCTCTGATTGTTGAGGGGGTGACTGTCCCTTGGAATGGCTTGGGTTGCTTTGGGTCTATCTGTGTACTTGCTTGGGCAGAGGGGCCTCACCCTGTTCTTGAAATGGTTCTGGCTGGATAGCAGCCTCTAGGTGGTGTGGGAGAAATTTGGGACTGCTTTGGGGTGGGGACAAGAAAACACAGGTCTCCTTGTGCCTCTGGAGAGAGGGAGGCAGGAGGAAATCAGAGACCCCATTCCCCGCTTGGTCGTTCTTGCTTATAGTCCGTGATGGCGTGGTCCCCAGGACTCCTCGGTGCCATCATTCTGCTGTCTGTTCTCTCAGGTCCTAGCGGGGCAGGCCGCCTCATGCCCAAACTGGCCGACCGGAAGCTGTGTGCTGATGAGGAATGCAGTTGTAAGAGGGGAGCAGGGAGCTGGGGGCTTGGGTTGCTGGTCTGTGTGTGGGGTCCTGTCGTTTCGTTTCTCCCCCTTTTTTTTTCTGTTCCCTTTCATAATTACTTCTGCAGACCCCATTTCCATGGCTGTGGCCCTTCAAGACTATGTGGCTCCCGATTGCCGTTTCCTGACCATACACAGGGGCCAAATCGTGTATGTCTTCTCCAAGCTGAAGGGTCGAGGGCGGCTCTTCTGGGGAGGCAGTGTGAGTCATGGGAGAGGGGAAAAAGGGAGAGATACGGGGCTCTGGTGAGAGTAAACTTCAGCTTTGCCTCTGAAGGGGAAAGGGTGTGGGGGTAACTGAAATAGTGATATTTGGGGGAGGGAATATTTTGCGACATAACTTTATATTTTGTTTAGGGAAGGGCAACTTGGTGCCAAGTTCTTTTTTAGACATTGAGCATAAAACAGCAAATGAATCCTTTTATTTTATTTATTTTTTTGGAGGGGGTACCTGGAATCAAACTCAGGACTTCAGGTTTACCAGGCAGGTGCTACACCACTGAGCTAAATCTCTGGCCTGATCCCTTTTATTCTAACGGAGGGAGACAAGCAATAAGAAGAGATCAAAACTAACAGCAAATGGGCTGGGGATATAGCTCAGAGGCACAGCGCCTGCCTGGCAAGCAAAGGTCCTGAGTTTGGTTCCTGGCACCAAAAATAAATTAATTAAGGGCTGGGGATTTAGCTCAGCGGCACAGCACCTGCCTGGCAAGTGCAAGGTTGTGAGTTCGGTTCCTGGTACTGGAAAAAAAAAAAAAAATTAAATAAATAAATAAATAAATACAACAGCAAGTAAACTGGGTGTGATGGTTCATGCCTGTAATCCCAGTGCTCTGCAAAGTTGAGGTCTGAGGCTGGAGGCGAGAGGATAGAAAGTTTGAGTTCAACCTTGACAACTTAGCAAGACCCTGTCTCAAAGTTTGAAAAAAAGGGGCAGGGTATGTGGCTCACTGGAAACACCTTGGGTTCAGTCCATAGTAATGCATGCACACCACACCACACACAAGCAAATACATGCTGCTCTGATCATTCATATAGAGTAGCTAGGTGATTGCTTTATTTTACTTCTTGGCAGTGCTGGGGATTGAACTCAGGGCTCATGCATAGCAGGCAAGTGCAGGTTCCTACTGGAGTGCTTAGGGAGGGTCTCTAATAGGTGTTACTTAAACTGAGATTGAATGACAAGGGTGAAGCCAGACATGGCGATCCAGGAGAGGAGACGGTTCAGGGACCTTGAGAAGGAGTGCGCTCGCCATTGTCCTAGACCTGGCTTTTAACTCCTCTTCCCCAGGTTCAGGGAGATTACTACGGAGACCTGGCGGCTCGCCTGGGCTATTTCCCCAGTAGCATTGTTCGGGAAGGCCAGACTTTGAAACCTGGGAAAATTGACGTGAAGACAGATGTAAGTGTCTTGTGGAGTGGCAGGGTTCTGGAGGCAAGATCCTTGGCTTGTGATGGTGCACAAAGATGCCTCTATTCTTGGTTTTGTCTGCTGGCCTTCCTGTATGTGCTGGGACAAATTCTTTGGCCTCAGTTTTGTCACCTGTAAAATGGGGAGTGAGTTCTAAACCCCAGTCTAGTTGGGAGATGCAAAGGCTAGAGGATGCTAGGCTCATCTGCACAGTTGTGTGGTCAAACTTGGCCCCTGAAGCTACAATTAATAACCACTAAATCTGCTGTGGTATAACAAATTTTCACTGTTTACCTTTGTCTTTTTCAGAAATGGGATTTCTACTGCCAGTGAGCTCAGCCCTACCATTCTTCCTGCTGTTTCCCTCCTGGCTTTATTCAAATACACCAGTCCCCGGCAAACTGCTGGTCTCTGTGATTTATGGGGTGGGGCGAGGATGTACAAAGGAAATATTTCTCAGGGTCCTGAACCTAGCCAGTTAATCCTCCTAAATGTGGTAATGTCAGTGGTTGCTAGGCAGAATTTCACGGATTGAAAGCCATTTGCCCCAAGCTGGGTCCTTGTGGTAAGGCTCCTAAACCTTCGATCTGGGACATAAGCAAGGGAGAATGTGGAATAGCCTAAACAGCCCAACTGGGGAATTGTGGTGTCCTCTATACACAATGAGAAGGTGCTGAACTATTGGGAATGAGCCAGTTGGACCATAAAGAGAACATACATTTTTTTTTTTTTTTTTTTTTTTAGAGACAGGGTCTCACTATGCAGTTCAGGCTGGCCTTGAGCTCACTTTGTAACCCAGGCTGGTCTCGAACTCTGCAAGGATCCTGCCTCAGCCTCCTGAGTGCTGGGATTACTGGTGTACGTCACCACGCCCGGCAAGAGAACATAAATCTTAGCATAGAGGTTTTGTTTGTTTGTTTCTTTTTTTTTTTTTTTTGAGATACGGTCTAGGTATGTATTTCAGGCTGGCCTTGAATTGACTTTATGGCTCAGTTAGGCCTCAAACTCGCAGCAATCCTCCTTCCTCATTTCCGAAGTGCTAGGACTACAGGCCTGAACCGCCACACCAGGCTCAGAGGTGAGGTTTTCTTGGAGAATATCTGCGAAAAGATGTGGGAAGCAACCTGCACATACTTCCCAATTTTCCTCCATCCTCACTTTTGGGTCAGAAATCACATCCACTGGCCTAAGATCCGCTTTTCTGCCAACTCTGTCAATCCTGCCCTTGCCTCTTTGCATTCTTTTCCCCTCCCGCAAGTGGGCTTCTCCCCAGTCCAGAGTCTTCACCGTGCCCTCCCCCCAACTCCTGACCAGATCCATTCCTCCACCGGACTGAACATCTCTGCACCGCCTCTTACCACAAGCTTCTCCAATCCCTTGTACTGGCCCCGCCCATTTAGGCCCCGCCCTTCTTGTGCCACCAATCGGTGCACTCCGTTCCACCCCCCGCCGGTGGAGTCCACCAATCCCATCCTTCGGAAAGCGTGACCTGGTGTCCAGCCGCTCTAGCGGGTCGAGCTGGAGCGGGGGTGGAGGCGGAAGTGGCGGCGCCGGGTCCGGGAGTAGGAAGGAGCAGGGGCTGCAGCCGGAGTGGAGCGGCTGCCAGCCGGGGAGCAGGCGCGGCCGCGGCGCCATATTGCGGCCCTCTGAGGCTGCAACCGAGTCATGGCCGAGACATACGGTGAGAGCGCTGGGCCAGCTCTGGGGCCTGGGGTCTGCGCCCAGAGGATGCGGCCTGTGGGGATGGGGCGGGGCCTTATACAAGGGGGCGGGGTCTGCTGCTGTGGGGGCAGGGCCTAATGGATGCTGGGAGGGGTTTCGTGGGTCTGGGGCTGAGCTACATGGATTTGGGTGGAGCCTGCGGGGCTGGTGCCTGGGTTAAATAGCTGTGGGCGGGATCGGAGGGAGCTGGTCTTGCGGTTCAGAGTGGGCCTTCATGTGTCGGGGCGGAGTCTGAGCGAATGGGGCGGGGCTGACTCTGAAAGCAGTGGTCGCGCTTGATGGGCTAAAGGGGACCCGGTACGGAGCTCTGGCCCCTCCAGCTGATTTGGCTCAAAGGTCTGGAATGGGGTTGGGATGGGTTGTCCTTAAATGTAGACAGGGATGGTGCTTAAGCTTCGGAATAGGGACCAGGGATCTGGCAGAGTGTAGGAAGAAGAGGTTGGGAATCGGAAAATCAATATGGATGATCAGTGCCAGGTGGGAGGGGGTCAGGGAGCGGTAGAAAGCTCTGGTGTAGGCGTCAGAGGGAGCTGCATTTATTCAATAAATACGGAAAGGCAGTGGGATCAAGTGCAACGATCCTGAGGTGGGAACCAGTTTGTCATGTTTAGGGAATAGGCTAAGGCCAGGGACAGCTCAGTGGACAGTGAGAGGGTGGCAGGAGGAGGGAAGAGGAATGGAGGCTAGATTCCTGTCCTTGATGAAATGGCTTTCAAGAGGCTTTAGCGGTATGCTAGCTAAGATCTTGGACTCTGGAAGCCTTTGGTCTGGGTTTGAATCTCACGTCTGCCTCGCTGTGTGACTGTGGGCAAGTCAGATAGCCTCTCTGGCTTCAGTTTCCTCATCGGGACAATGGGGATGTTTTTAGTATACCTCCCCCTAGAGTTTTCCTGAAGATTTCAGTGAACTGTTGATATAAGTAAAGATAGGTAGACCTGTGCCTAAGGCGTGTGGTAAATAGCTAAGAATAATCTTGGGTTCAAAGCATGGCTCAGTGGCAGGGCACTTGCCTACCCTAGCATGCACAAAGCCCTAGATCCAATTCCCAGCCGTGGAGAGAAGGAGATAGACTTGGTTGGCAGCTCCATCCAGCTGAGGAGAGAGGGAAGGAAAAAGACAGATGAGAGAGAGAGAGAGAGAGAGAGAGAGAGAGAGAGAGAGAGAGAAAGGCTTCAGACCACAGTTGTAGCTGGGGGAGCATGCACAAGGCCTTTAGTCTAATCCCTAGCACCACAAAAAAGTTGAGGGGATCCTAAAACAGAAAGAGAAGGAGACATTTGAAAAAGAAACACATCCTCAGACAGGGAAAGATAAAAAAAGACACCAGATGTGGTGGGAAAAAAGAGAAAAATGTCATGTATTACTCTGGTTGTCTACGGCATTGTTTCTTCTTGGCTGTTTGTCTCTGTCTAACTTTTCTTGGTTTCCCTCTTTTTTGTGTATCTTTCTCTTCCTGTGGGTATCCTTGATTTCGGCTACATCTGTTCAGACTTCCTCTTCAAATTCCTGGTGATCGGCAGTGCAGGAACTGGCAAATCATGTCTCCTTCATCAGTTCATTGAGAATAAGTGTGAGTGTCTGGCACTGGTTGTGGTCGAGGGTGTGCGATGGGGCAGGTGGGCAGCGGGTGAGGTGAGCGGGGCTGGCTGCCAGTCCTATTCCAGTGCTGGTGGCATGGTTCTTGAATTGGCATCTGCTCTTTCTAGATTTTCAGTCACCCCAGCAGTGAAAATGAGTTGGTAGAGACAGAGGAGGCCGGGGAGGGTAGGGGTCCTCTGAGCCGCTACACTGCCTCCTCTCTCCTTTTCCTTCTCACTCTTAGTCAAACAGGATTCCAACCACACGATCGGCGTGGAGTTTGGATCTCGAGTGGTCACCGTGGGTGGGAAGACTGTCAAGCTACAGATCTGGGACACTGCTGGCCAGGAGCGGTTCCGGTAGGTGGGCTGGGCACCCAGGGAGGGACGGGCGGAAGGGAGGGGAGAAGGACATGTGTAGTTACTCAGGGATACAGTAGCAGGAGCAGGAGACACTGAGGACAGACAAGGCAGAAGGAGGGAGGGAGACAGACTTGGTTGGCAGCTCCATTCGGCTGAGGGAGAAGGAAAGAAAAAGACAGACATAAGAGAGAGAGAAAAAGGCTTCAGACTGCAGTTGTAGCTGGGGGAGAGTGCTTGCCTAGCATGCATGAGGGCCTTAGTCTAATCCCTAGCACCACAAAAGAGTTGGGGGGATCCTAAAACAGAAAGAGAAGGAGATATTTGTAAAAGAGACTCATCCTCAGACAGGGAGGGAAAGAAAGAAAGACAGACACCGGTGGTGCAGCAGTCTGGGAAGCTGAGGGAGGAGGATTACAAGTTTGAGCTCAACCCCACCAGTTTAACCACTTAGTGAGATCCTGTCTCAAATTAAAAAAAAATTTTAAAAGAGGGTCTTGGAATTGGTGTGGCAGTGCATGTCTGTAAGTTCAGCATTGGGAGGCTCAGGCAGGAGGAGGAGGCTAAGGCAGTAAGGTTATGAGTTTGAGGCCAATAATACCTTTTTTCAGGCAGGCACTTGTACCGTTGAGCCATATCCCCATCCCTAATAATACCTTTTTTTCAAAAGAAAGAAATAAAAAAGTGATGTGCATGTAGCTCACTGTGAAAGCTCCTAGGTTCAATCCCAAGTACTAGAGAGAGAGAGAGAGAGAGAGAGAGAGAGAAAGAGAGAAAGAGAGAGAGAGAGAGAATAAAATGATGATGAAGGTGGTAGGAGGACACACACACACAAAAAAAAACAGGTCAGAGACAGAGAGAACCAGTGCTTTGGACAGGTACAGCCAGGAAGATGGAGAAATAAATGTTTTGTGGGGAAGAGGAAATACAGAGGGCCCAGCACATAGTAGGTTTTCAGAAAATGCTTGCAGGAAGAGTTGACAGACATGGAAACTCTGAGAGAGGCTGTGAGAAACACCAGCAGGGAAAAATGGAAAATTCAGTGCATGGAGAATGTGGTCTCTGGGCAGCACATAGTAGCTACTAAGTTAATATTTGTGTGTCGGGGCTGGGAATTTAGCTCAGTGGCACAGTGCCTGCCTGGCAAGTGTGAGGCCGTGAGTTTGATTCCTGGTACAGGAAAAAAACAAAAAAAAAAAAAAAAAAAAAATTTGTGTGTCAGTTGAGTGCATGAGGTATGTACAGGTCAGAGACAAAGCCAGTGAAGAAGAGACAGTTGTATGGAGTGGGGTAGATTCACAGTAACTGCACAATAATATGGAATGACTGCATGAATTCTCATGGGCTCCAGCCTGGTGAGACAGGGAAATGAAGAGATTTGGCCACATGGGAAAGGAGATTCGACCAGCCACAGCAGGAGAGGGACAAGCAGATGCTGCATGGCACCTGGCCAGGTTCAGGTAGAGGGGAGATGCTCAGAACATGTTGAGTGAGTGAATGAATTTGAGGGAAGGCATGTGCGTATGAGAGAGCCAGAACTGGGAGAAAGTAGAGAATTAAAGACACACAGCTGGGGGTTTACCTCAATGGCAGAGTGCTTGCCTAGCGAGGCCCTAGGTTAGAGCTCCAGCACTGTTAAAAAAAAAAGAAAAGAAAAGTCTATAGGCCGGGCTTGGTAGCACACGCCTGTAATACTAGCACTTGAGAGGCTGAGGCAAGAGGATTGCTGTTTGAGGCTAGCCTGGGCTACATAGTGAGTTCAAGGCCAGCCTGAACTACATAGTGAGAGACTCTGTCCCAAAAAGGAAAAAAAGAGTATATAAAGGTACACACACGAGAGACACAGAGAAAGAAATCAGTGCAGAGATACAGAAAGGCAGGAACGCGGAGAGGCTCACAGTCACACAACTGAGGGAGGGAGGTAGAAATCGAGGACAACAGAGGCGGAAAGAAACAGGGCAGAGAGAAATTCTATGCCCACCAGACTAAGTGCAGGTTTCAGGGGGTGGGCCAGCAGTGGAGGGGGGCCTCCGAACCACCAGTCTCTCTCCGCAGAGGGGGGCAGTCTCGGGGCAGACCCCAGCCTTGGGGGTGACTGGGTCCCCCTGGCCCCACAGGTCGGTGACGCGGAGTTATTACCGAGGGGCAGCGGGAGCCCTGCTGGTCTACGACATTACCAGGTGGGTGCAGGTGTCAGCAGGGGGTTGGGGCGGGGCCTGGGTCCCCTTCTCCCACGCCACCTTCCTCGTGTGCCTCCTCTGCAGCCGGGAGACGTACAACTCGCTGGCTGCCTGGCTGACGGACGCCCGCACGCTGGCCAGCCCCAACATTGTGGTCATCCTCTGCGGCAACAAGAAGGACCTGGACCCTGAGCGTGAGGTCACTTTCCTGGAGGCCTCCCGCTTTGCCCAGGAGAATGGTGAGGGCCCGGCTGGGCCGTGCTGGGAGCCAGGCCGGAGTGGGGCTGGAATGGTGCTCAGTGCCCTGAACGTGGGAGATCAGAGGCCCCCCTCATATCTGAGTGTTGACTGTGTGACCACTCTGTTCCTCAGTTTCCTCTACTGAGAAGTGGGGGCTCACAGCGTTTCTACCTCACACTGTGCTGGTTAGGGAGGTCACGGGAAGCCCCTAGCACTTCCTAGCACAGAGAGGGTACAAGGTGAATGTTTCCCAATGAGAAGAGTCCACCACCATGGGGAGGCAGCGCCGGGTATCGGCTTAAGGTGAAGGAACAAACTCAGATGGCCTAGGGATTGGCACATGTTGGGAATTACGGAGATGGACTCCACGTGAACAGGCGTAAGGGGAATGGAGAGGACTGATGAGCCCTGTCAAGAGGTTTGTAAGCCATCCACTGTGGTGGTATGTGTGTAATCCCAGCATTCAGGGAGGCTGAGGCAGGAGGATTGCAAGTTTGGGCCAACCCTGGGCAATCTAGTAACGTAGCCAGAGCCTGTCTCAAAATAATAAATAGTGAATGCACTGGGGCTGTACACGATGTGAGAGTTCACTCTCTGGTAACCCCCCCCCCCACACACACACACAGAGAAAGGAAAGTTTGCAGGTATAAACTCAACTGAACACACTGTGCTGCCAGACCAGCCACATCTTTTGGTTTGACGTGTGCTCTGAGAGGGTTAGAATCCTAGCTCTGAGCTACCCGTGGAGAGGCCTTGTCATGTAACCCGGGCCGGTGCGAGGTGGCGCTGGGGACCCAGGGATGAAGACAAGCTTGTGTTGCTCAGAGTGCAGAGGGTGAGACTGAAGGTGCAGGGTCATGTGCAGACAGTATCAGCCCAGAGAGGTCATGGTCAGGCTGGGGACACAGTGGAGCTCTGGGCACGCACAGGAGATCCCTGACCCAGGCCGGGAGGTCAGTGAGGACGTTCCGGGGGGGCCTCCTCTGCACTGAGCGCAGAAGGATGAGCTGGCGTGTGTGTGGGGAGGGAGACAGAACTCTCTGTAGGAGCACAGCATGTGTGGAGGGTCAGGTGAGGCCAAGGTGGCTGGAGCATTTGAGGAACCTAATGAGAGCCCGCCAGTGGGAGTGGGAGTGGAGGCCAGGGACCAACGGAGTTCCTGGCCCTCCAGAACTCATGTTCCTGGAGACGAGCGCGCTCACGGGCGAGAACGTGGAGGAGGCTTTCCTGAAATGTGCGCGCACCATCCTCAACAAGATTGACTCAGGTGAGGCCGTACTGACCAGCCCAAAGGGGTGGAAGGTGGGGCTCCGGGGTCTCCATGGAACCAGCCCTGAGCTCTCCCCCTGCCTGCAGGCGAGCTGGACCCTGAGAGGATGGGCTCAGGCATTCAGTACGGCGATGCCTCCCTCCGCCAGCTGCGGCAGCCTCGGAGCGCCCAGGCCGTGGCCCCTCAGCCCTGCGGCTGCTGAGACCTGCGGAGCCAGGTGGGACGCTGGGGGCTCGGGGAGGCAGGGCTTGTGTCCTGGGAAGAGGGGCGTGGAGCGGACACAGACACGGAAAATACGAGAACAACAAGCAGTGAGAGAAAAAGATGCCAAACGTAGCAGCCAAAGGAGCCATCTTCCCAGACACAGGGAACCCACCTGCCTGCTCCGCCCCAGACCTTCCTTCCAGCCCTCGGCCCTGCACCTGGTCTTCCCCTTCCTAGTGCTGAGCGCCTACTGTGTACCAAGCCCTGTTCAAGCTCTGGGGAGACAGCAGGGAGGAAAACAGATGAAAAGCCTGGCGTTCCTAGAGCCAGCGTGCTCTTGGGAGGAAACAGACAATAAACGAGACGTGTAAATAAACTGGGCGTGGTGGTGCACGCCTGGAATCCCAGCACTTCGGGAGGCTGAGGCAGGAGCTTTGAAAGTTCACGTACAGCCTGGACCATTTAGTGATTTACTAGATCTTGTCTCAAAAATAAAAAATAAAAAGGGAGGTGGGGCACTGAGGATGTAGCTCAGTGTGGAGGCCTCGGGTTTAATCCCTAGTTAAAAAAAAAAGACACAAGGGCTGGGGATTTAGCTCAGCAGCACAGTGCCTGCCTGGCAAGTGCAAGGTCGTGAGTTCAATTCCCGGTACCAGAAAAAAAAAAAAAGAAAAAAGAAAAAAAAAAAAAAGACACAAATAAGTTATATAATAGCTATGGAGAAAAATTAAAATTGAGTCAGATAGGGAGGGGTGGAGGAGTTCATGTGAGGAAAATAATGAGGGAGTCCTCACTCAGAAGGTGACATCCAAGCAAAAGACCCGAACGAGGGAGAGGAGCAATCCTTGGGCATCTGGGGCTGGAGCGCTCTAGGCAGAGAACAGCAAGTGCAAAGGCCCGGGTGAGAGAGGTCAGTCAGGCCGGGGGAGGCGCCACCTGCTGTGGAACGAGGTCACTGTGGCTGCAGGGAGTGCATTGTGCTGGGGTTCAGCAGGACATAGTGCCTGTGATGTGGGGAGGACTCTGGTTTAGACCTTGGCCAGGATGGGAGCCATAGGAGGGTTCTGAGCTGTCAAGGGAGGGTGTTTGATTCAGGGATTCCCAGGACCCACTGGCTGAATGTAGAGAAGAGGTAGAGGGACCTTGTTTGCTGCTGCAAGGTCAAGGCAAGAGAGGGTGGTGGACAGCCTGGGATGGGCCAGAGGGGTTGAGTTGTGGGTAGGTTGTTTCCTGCCCGGGTTCTCTGTCTCCAGTCTTGTCCTGTCTGGATGCAGCTGCGGGGTCTAAAATACACATCTGCTCTTGTCCTTCCCTGTTTAAAAATATGCATGGCCCCCAGGGTCCCTGGGACCCAACGGAAGCTGCTCAGCCGGATGTTTGACTCTCAGCAGGGAATGGCTCCTGCAGCTACCTCAGCCTCACCTGGTACCTCTCCCCAGCCCTCAGGCTGCTCCTGCCACACCCACATTGAAGTTCTGTCCGTTTCTGTTTCTCTGTTTCTTTGCTCGTGCTGTGCCTTCTGCCTAGAACACTGTTCCTTCTCTCTTTGCCCCGGTAACCCCCTTCCTCCTCCAGGAAGCTCTGTTTGTTCTTCTGTGCTTCATCCAAACTGGCCTGCCATACCCTGCGGGATTTGGTCCCCTCCCCACCTCTGGGTGGGTGGGTGTCGACACTTCTCTTCGTACCTCCTGCCTCCTCTCAGCCATTTACCACTCCAGGGTGACTGAGGGGGAGCAGTGGTTAGATTTTGGATCTACTTGGAGGGTAGAGCCGGAATGATTTCCTGATGGAATGTAAAGGGTGGCGGGGGGGTCAGGGATAAGTTCTTTGGACAGTTTTCTGTTGCCAGACATTTGCATGTGCTGTACCTGGGCCTTAGTTTCCTCTTCTGTACAATGGGGCCAAAAGTTGTGCAGTACCTGCCTCTTATGAGTGTTGAGAATGTTAAATAAATGAATTCATGTAACATGCTTAGGATGGGCCCAATACTTAGTAACGACTCAATAAACAGGGCTGTTTGTTATATTCCTTCTCCATCTTAAAGACTGTGGGCCGTGCAGACTTGGAAGGATGTGTATTCTTAGCGTAGAATCTCAGTGGGTCGAATGTAATAAGACGGTGCATTTACAGACTGTTGGCTGCACTTTTATATGTTGATCTAATACAGTCACACCCATGTATAAAATTCAAGTATGTTTTCTTGCTCCCTACTTCTTTCTTTTTAAATTGAAATTAACAGGTTCACAGTGGGGCCATAATTTGCATGTCTCACTGCCGGGCGGCTCTTACTGGAATGTGTTATATTCCCACCAGCTTGTGCCACTGGTGGTACATGCATGCTTGTCCCATTGGGTGGCATGGGACAGTCCCATTAGGTGGTACAAGCTGGTGGTACTTCATGCCAGTGGGAATGTTAAAGTCACATAACAGAAATTTATGTTACGTCAAAGCTCAGTGGCATTTAGTGCATTCACAAGGTTGTACAACCATCTCTTCTGTCTAGTTCCAGAATATTTTCACTACCTTAAAAGGAAACTGCAAAACCAGCAAACAGTCATTCCCCATTTCCCCTCAGCCCCTGGCAACTACCAATCTGCTGTCTCTGTTAACCCACTTTTTCTGGTTGTTTATAGTTTACTGAAATGGTGTTCTTATGTAGTCCAGACTGGCCTTGAGCTTGCTGTGTAGCCCAAGCTAACCTTGGCTTTGCTTTGTAGCTCATGATCCTCCTTCCTCAGCCTCCAGACTGTCCGGATTATGGTCATGTGCCACTGTGCCCAGCTGATAAGTATTCTTTTTCTTTTTTTTTTTTGTCTTTTTGAGACAGGGTCTCGCTATGCAGTTCAGGCTGGCCTTGAACTCACTTTGTGGCCCAGGCTGGCCTCGAACTCGCAACAATCCTCCTGCCTCAGCCTCCCGAGTGCTGAGATTATAGGCGTGCGCCACCATGCCAGGCTCAGTATTCTTATTACATATGATGCACTCTGACATTTTCTATTTTATTCTATTTGAATAAAAATTATCCAAGGTCCACCAAATTATTCCTCCTTCCCATGCAGTGTTGCACATTGGAATCATCTGGAGAGCTTCAAAGGTACTGATACCCAGGCTTTACCCCAGAGATTTTGAGGTAATTTCAAGATTTCTAGAAGCTTCTAGATAATGCTATGTGCAATCAAAGCAAAAAGCATGTATCTAATGTGTCTCCAGCTTGGGAAACACTGGAAGAAGGCCTAAAGCTAGGGTGATCAGGGATATGGGACACAGAGATACAAAAGTAGGGATATGGTATTTAGACAATGAAATGTCCCTTTACAGATGTTCCCTCAGGTAAGCAAGCAGGGAGATGGGGGGTGGGCAGGAGAGAAAGAAAGTGAAAAGGAGGGAGAGAGATGGAGAGACTGATTCTTAAATTATCTGTAGAGGAGAGACAAAATTTCAGGCAGTGTCAAAACTTCGGTAGAAAGAGTATAGACAGTCAGATACAGATGGAAGGTCAGGGAGATGCCAACAAGTGAGATGTAGACACCAGCTAGACAGACCCAGGACCCCTCCAGGTCACTACACCTTCTCTTTCAGCTCATCTGTTCTCCAGGACCAGCCCTGCCCTTCCGGCTGGGGCCCAGACCCAGGCCCCAGGAGGCCATGCCCCAACCTGCCCCAGCCCTGGAGATGTTGCCCTGCCACCTGTCCTCCTTCCCTGGCCTGGTGGGGCCTGGCTTTGGGGCAAGACTGAGCCATGGGGGAAGGGGGAACCCATACCTGCTGCTGCTTCCTCTGTCTTGGCTAACCTCTGTCCCCCTTGAACCCTTAACCATACGCCACGAGCTCTCAAAGCCTGAGACCAGGGCCTTTTGGCTCCAGCTTCCCACCTGGCCCTGCTATTGCCAGTACCTGTTATTTATTACCTAGAGGCCTGTCCCACCGTGGCCTACCCCCATAAAGCATTGTTTACACCTGTGTTTTGGCCTTTGTCATTTTGGGTTGTTGGGGAGAAGTCCCTGATGGGAGGATCATGGGTCATGGTGCGGGGATACCTCGAGGATGCACCGTAGTTAGGTGTCTAATTTGTGGAGGTTAATTTGTGGGTGTCTAATTTGTCACTGTGAGCACACTCTGCAACCTGGGTGCTTGAGGCTCTTGTGCATGATACGTCCCTGTGCTTGTGTCATGTGTACGTGTTGTCCCAAAACCTGTGTGTGGGCCGTGTCTGTTGGAACGTGTGACACTGCTGCGTGTGAGTGCTCTGTGTCCTGGGTGATTGTGTTAGTGAGGCTGTTGTGTGGGACACCAAGGCCAAGGAAGGGGAGTCTGGCCTGTGAGTGAACCTGCTTTGCCCTATGCATGTCTGAACTCAGAGTCTCCAGCAGTGGCCCACTGCGGTGGTGTGTCCCTGTGCACTTGTGTCCCTTATGTCCCTGTGTGTTTTGGTGTGTATTTGCCTCCTTTTATTCAGAGTGTGTGACCTTGTGCCTTCCGTGTGCCCTTCAGGACTATGGGCCCTTGGCAAACCCCAAGACTTGTACACACTTAAGGGTGTGCACTGCCATGTGCCCAGGTGAATTGCTGGTGCCTTCATGTGACATGCCAGGGGCGGGTGCAGCCCCCACAGGACCATCCCAGCTGCTCTCCCACCCAGTCAGGCAAGTCAGCGGTACCCAGACCCCAAGGGATGCCTGAGTCCAGCCTCACCCTGCTTTATCTGGTCCTAGGCGGAGGGAGTGGGACTTTCGAAGTGACTATCTCCGCACACCTCAGGAGAGGTGCCCAGATGTTCTCAAGGACGGGACTGTGCACTCAGATGTCTTCTCTGCGCTGTCCTAAGTTGCTTTATTCTGACTCCCGTATCTGTCCTGAGGGGGCAGGGCAGAGCAGGTCATGCAGAAATGATCCATTGCACATCAGTTCCAGTGAGCCCGTAAGATCATACCCTACTGTCTTCCCCTCCGTTATAAAAGTGGTTATGTAAATCACTGACGTGCCAATTTACACACATTTTCCGACTGCGGCCATTTCTGAATATCCCTGTCTTTTCGGGTTTGAGGAGGAGCTCCCTATGTAAATGAGTACTTTGCACGCCGTTCCGCAACCCGGAGGGCCGTCATTCCGCAGCATTCGCCGGGGGGGCGGGTCTTTCGTAAGTCGTCTCGTTTGCATGCCCCGCCCACGGCGCTGGTCTAACCCGCACAGACACGCCCCTTCCCCCCATCCGGACCCTCTAACTGCATTCCTCCCGCCGGCGCAGAAGAGGCGGGGCGAGGAATGCAAATAAGCCTCGCGTGGGCGACGGGCCCACTTTTCCTTTCTCGGGAGGGGGGGGTTCTGAAAAATCTCACCCCGCCCTAGGGGTTCGCGCCTGCGCAGGCACCGTCTCTTTCGTCCGGGCGCGGTCACGTGCCCAACGGGCGAGGCGGGGGCGGGGTATGGCGCGCTGTGCGGCGCAGGGCGGCTGGCACAAACGGCGGCGCCGGGGCCGGAGAAAAAGCTCGGTGAGGAGGTCGCGGGAACGGAAGGGAACGGGGAGGCGAAGGAGCCGAGTCGGGATGCGGGCCCGCTGCGGGCGCGATGTGGAGGCGCGCGGGGGCGGGCCGCCGCGACCCGGGGGACGGAGTGGGGGTGGGGAGGAAGCGCGG